AAGCGGGTCGGGTTCGGGTTCGGAAAACCGACCCGTTTGCAAAAACGGGTCGGGTCGGGTCGGGTTGAACAGTGTCAGGTCAATTTCGGGTTGGACCCGAACCCGACCCGTGACCCGTTTTTGACAGGTCTAAAAACAGGGTAAAGCCAAGGGACAACAGCAGCAACCGAACAGCCAAAGCAAGGGGAACCGGGACAACCAAGGAGTAGGAACCAAATAGCCAAAGCAAGGAGAACTGAGACAGCCAGGAGCAGGAAACCGAACAGCCATCCCCCCCCACCACAATCATCCAATGGGGGGTGGGGGGGTGGGGGGGGGTATTGCTTACATCAAAAGTGCAATGAGTGATGTCAAGAGCTGATGGTGTTCTTTTCAGATTCACTGGGAGTCGATGAAAGAGGCAACTTGTCCTTCAGAGTACAGCCTAACATGAAAGCTTGTTGTGGTGGATGATCCTGTTTCATTTTTTTTTATGATCTAGTTCATCTGATTTGAGGCAAGGTTTAAAATTGTGCAATTGGGTATTGAGGCTTTTTTGTTCGTGAGGCGAGGCGTAAGCCTCAAGACGTTTTGAGGCTTAAGCATCTAAATCAAAAAATTGCATTAAGTTTAAATAAATGTTAAAAGTAATTTTTTAAATAATACCCAAATAATATGTTAAAAGAATGCATGTTATCTTTCTCTATTGAATAATAAAGTAACAAATTGACATACATATGAAATAAAAAATAACACAAGACGTAAAGTAGCAAGTGATAATTTACATAAAATAGAATTGAAATTAAAATATTATAAGAGTAAAATAGTATTAAATATATAAATGATATAAAAGTATCATATAATATCAAGTTCAACTCCAAAATCCTTCTTTCTCTGTTCCCTACTCAAACTTGAGGCAAGAAAACATGATCAAGACCCATGGGTGAAACATGGTGGGCAAGCTACAACAATGAGTCGCCGACAAGTGTGGTGGCTGGCATCTTCTCAGCTAGAAGATTCATGGATTGTGAGACAGTGTGTCCTTTGGAATGCAAACCAAAGAGAAAGATTATTGTGGCGGATGTCGGGTTTAAACTTATGGCCAAAAGAAACTTTATTACCATCTAGTGTTAACATTGGTAAAGGAGTTGGGCGATACATGATCAAGATCAATAGGCTATGATGCACCGACACTTCTCCTCAAAGAGGCGTGTAGTGTCCGACACCATGTCCGACACGACACTCGTCTGACACTCCTCCGACACGTGTCGGACACGCTGAAAACGTGTCCGATTAAAAAAATATTAAAAATTAATTGGACACGCGTGTCCGACACGCATATCTTAAATATTTTATAATTGTTTTTTAAATATAATTTCTTATGTTTGGCGAGATTTAAACTAAATTTCTTATTTCCTATCCACAACACCAAATCAACGTCTGCATTTAATACTCATTCATTGAATACTCACATTTTCATTTCTCTTTGGCAGTGAAGGTATTTTCATCTCCTCTCTTTTTGTACAATTACAAATCTTTCTCTTGTTAAACCAGAGTTGAAAGCAGTGATATTCAATGATGATGATATTGAAGGCCAAAAACAAACCTCTAAAGCTAATCCTAGTAGTTAAAGCTTAAATGCTTAATGTTGTAGTAAGTGATTATTTGTTTATATTTTTATAGTTGTATTAGATATTTTGTACTAAATATTTTATATTATAAGCTAGACAAGTTATCATGTCATTCATTTATTATTGTTTGTCATTTTTAATATGATATTACATTAATATATATACACAATATAAAAAATTTATTGCCGTGTCCGCGCCGTACCCGTGTCCTATATTTAAAAAAAAGCCGTGTCCGTGTCGTGTCGTGTCTGTGTCGTCGTGTCTGTGTATGTGCATCATAGTCAATAGGTGAAGCTTGGAAGGAAAGCTTAGCTAGTAGATTTTAATAAGGAGTTAGTCGAAGTGTGGTCAGGGACACAATGGCCTGCAAATGTGTTTGGTGCAATCAGTGTTGTGAATTAATGATCGAAGTGTGTCCATTTGGAAGGTTTGGCTGCAAGTATTGTTACAATTGAAGAGTAGTGAACATAAAGATAGAAAGGAAAGAAAGGAAAAGGCTACAGTGATGAAGTAGATTTCTTGGTGTTTCTTATGATTTGGATTCTTTTTGCATTTGTTGGAGAAGCAAAGAAGAAAAAGGGTTTTAAAGAGAGAATACTAAACGTAAAAAAACAAGTGAGGTAAAAAGGAGGAATGATTTGGATCAAGGACTACTAGTATTAGAAGAAATAAAATCTTCTCTTGGAGAAGAAGCCCCACTACCAAAAGTCAAGAAGACTAAAATCTATTAAACAGATAGGCATTTAGAGTTGTTTGTCTAACATTTATTAAGACGGTTTCCTTCATCAACTAAAAGGTATATCCGATGATAAAGTTTTTTAATCTCAAAAATGGTTGATAGCGCTTCTATAGAGACGCATATCAATGAGTTCAATCTGATTACAAATTAGTTGATCTCACTTGATATCAACTTCAGTAGTGAACTTTATATATTGAACTTATCATCATCATCACCACCAAAGAGATGATTGGAGCTATGACAGTGGCCAATAGTTCATGGGGTCTACAAAGCTGAAGCTCAATAAATATTATGATTTGATCTTGAGTGAGGACATCTAAAGGCAAAAATCATGTGAAAGCCTTTCTATTATGTTGAATCTTTAAGGCAAAGGAAGATGTATAGGGAAAGGTAGCAACATAGAAAGAACCAAATCTCAACATAGGAGACAATCCAAAGGTCGTAGCAATGATTGCAGGCTGTATAATAAAATTGGCCAAATAAAACGAGATTATCCACAAATAAATCAACCAGGAAGTTCAAATCAGGTGGAGGAATTTGTAAATGTTATCGATGAACTAAAATCCACTAGTATTTAGTATGGATAATCCAATGTAGTCATCGATTCTAGACTAAAATCGGTCAACTCAGCACAAAAATTCTATGATGTACTCAGCAAGAGATTGTATAAAGGTTCCTCTTGATAATAATAGAACTTCGAACTTCATAAAAGTTTAAGTGTAAAAAATCAAGCTTGGTAAGGGCATCATGTGACAGCTTCAAAATTTAAGGCTTATTTCTAGCTTGAAGATGAACTTGATCTTGATTTGGGATACTAGGTGAAGAAGGTTATATCTTGACCTTTTAAGTTGATTCTATGACCAAAAGCGTTCGATGATATCAAATGGAAGAAGCAGTCGTACGAACAAAATACTAAACACTGAAATAATAAAAGCAAGTGTGAAATATTTTGTTTATGATTCCAAAAAAAACAATGTTGCATAAAACTCATGTCAAGTAGGAGATTCCAAGGGATAAGAGGGCATTGCAGGACAAATGATATTTCAGAATCAAAAGCACAACAACAAAGAAGTTGTCATAAATAATTCCGATAAGTTTACCGCTCATGAACCAAGGTACCAAAATATTTCAATAAACTTTCATTAGGATTGAAAGGGGCTGCCCATAGAAATGACTCCCTCATGTCGATATATTAAAATTCAATCTCCAAGTCTAAGATTGTCAGAAGCGGAACCCGATTCCCTCGACCACTTTGAATACAAAGTTGGAAAAAAAATTCCTAACTTTAATAAGATTTTGAAGAGATTTTGACAAGGAAATTGTCCAAATTTTGACTTAAAAAATAATCATCAAAGCAATGATTAAATTCTCTTAAGCTACTTTAAACTAGAAAAATTCCCTCTCAACTTGAAGAGGTGAACGATAAATATATTGATCAGCGGCAAAGAGAATTGATGGCATTCTTCTCAACTTCATTGAGAGGAGCTGTAAATTAAGATAAGGTGTTTGATCGAGTGCAATGCAATGGGATTCAGCTTGTGACAGGAAATGTCTTTATCATGGCAAGATATCAATGCTAATGTGGCACATTGGTTTTAGAAACTTGGTTGCAGGTGTTGTTACAGCTAAGAGAAGTAAACATTGGGAATGAAAGAAAAGGGAAAGGTGATAAAGTGGATTTTTATATAGATTAATATATTATTTGTTCATCTTAGCTTCTTATCCTTTGAACTTTTTGCTATTTCAAGAGAAGGCCTTAGTGAGAGAGAGAAAAAGAGAGGAAAATGTTGTGAGAAAATTTTGATGATATATAAGGACTAGCAGACATTTTCTCTTGTATGCATCTTTAGACTAACAAAAAAATCCCTTTGTGAGGATTTGGGAGAAAGTAAGTATTATCGAACCACATAAATCTCGTCTGTTGTTTATCATAGCAAAATTTTACCTCCTCTTGCTGCCCATTATTGCTTCTACCCAACAACTATTACAAGCAAATATGTGCTCACAAAAGCAAAACGAATCAAGTCGAGAAAGACGAGTGTCAAACCAAGAGAACGCCAAGTGCCAAGTGCCAAGTGTCAAATTCCCATATGTTGGCAGGTTGAACGAGTTTTGGTAATGCACCATTGCTGGCAAGCAAGTGGCCCTGAGAAACTTCAAAGTGGCAAGAGGAATATTGGAAGGCAAAGGTTAGACAAGGCCGCCTATCTATCTTGAATTGGTGCATACAGGCAACAATAGTTGTTAATGTGACAGAATGTGATCAACCAAGAGAGGCCAACCAACGGGCATTGCAAAGGCTATCTCCCTGTGCTCTTATGAAATATATACAGAACTAACAAATTTAATAAAATCCTCATCTAATTTACCAAATGCAGATTATTGTAAGCATCATATGAGAGGTCAAACTCTTCTTCTAATACATTGTTGCTGTGATTTCCAACTCCATGCCACGAATCAGACCCAATACATCCAAAAAAAACTCCAAAAGTAGGTTCCAACGATAAGTCCATAAGATAGAATAAAGACAAACTTGAAATGCCGTAAGAAACACAAAACAAGTTATCATCTAGCAAATAACTAAAAACTCGCACATAAGACAAAGTCAAGTAAATACACCAAAAAACTGCAAAAGGAAATACGTGCACAACCTGCAAAGCATCTGTGAAGCTCTTCCTCCTACTTCCCAAACAAATATCCGTCAACCCAGTAAGACCATTACTCCCCTCACTGACCCAATCCCCAACTCCGTTATGTTCCGCTGGTTCCGAAAGACCGGGTTGCATCGAGAAAAGAGAACGGCTGCTCCCATCACCGTCAACCAGCTGCTTTCTGCCCCCACGATCACCAATTCCCCCAAAATCGAACCTCTTGGCAGCGCGCCAGTCCTCCTTTGACAGCAAAGGAGGCGGCAACCTAGGGTTAAGATTTTCATTCAAGTAATAGTAGGACATATAAGCCGGATGAGACCGCATCTCCTCCTCCAAAAGCACATCGCCGTTGTTCTGTCCATCAAACATACTACGGATGGCGTTCCTCGACCCTTCAACGGTTGGAGGAGCGCTTCCGCTGCGATAGATATTGAGCTCCCGCTCTCGATCGAAAGAAGCTCCGCTCTGCTGCTGCTGCTGCTGCTGCTGCTCTCGCAGCATTGCTTCGATGTCCCTCTCGAAGTCCTCCTCTAAATCCTCTGCTAGGTTTACCGTAGTCATCTTCACCGAGCCCCCAGTTACCATCCCCAAAACTCATAAAAGGCTAATTTCAGAAAGCAGGATGAAGCCAGATACCAAATGCCCTCATGTTCCAAAGTGTTCCGGCATCAAATTTGTGGGAAACGGATGCCAAAGAACCAGATATGCAGACACAAATCAAAAGGCAAAATTTTCCATAAATAAACAAGGGTAGACGTAGAAAGGCTAATTGCTGCCGCTGGATTGAAAAGCCATAACTTTGGTTATTTCCTATTTTGTAAGGGGTAATGAAGTACCAATAAGTGTCTGGTCTAGGGTTTCTAAAAACGGACAGAGCTTGCAAAGAGATAGGAGATAACGCGAGGTGCTTCTTCTTCTCCTTGTTAGAGAGAAGGATGTAAATAAGGTGGCGGAAGAGAGAGAATCAACGACTGCGGCGCTTCATGTCGGAGCAAATATTCGACCGTTGGATGAAGATCAGAGGATGTTAACGTTGCGGGATTAGTTTAGACTTAGGGGTTGCGGACGTAGATACATAAATATAAGATAATATTGGACCAAATCAAATTTAAATAAAAAATAATTATTATGCATATATTTAATGAACATTTTGTTCATTATTTTCATATTAATAAATAAAATAAAATTTTTGTTTGATTTGAACTATTTGATTGCAACTCAAATTTTTAATAGAATAACAATGCATTATTGATACTAATGCCTTTTTTAGCTAATAAAAGCTTCATATTTATTGATGTAATATAAATTAAATATAGTATAATAATTGAAATTAAATTGAAAGTAAAGAAGATTTGGTGCAATAAAAAATTTATATTAGTATCCATTTATTTAATTTTTTATTTAAAGGCCTTAAAGCTTATAATGTAGTGTTTTATGATTGTTCTTTGTTTGTACATTCGTGATAATAGAGTGAGAGAATTTAACGTTTTAGGCTTTTAGCATTGTATGAATTTTGATATGAAACCTGATTCCTTCTACCATTTGGAATACAAAGTTCAAAAAACAAATCTTCTGATCTTTAATAAGATTTAGAAGAGATTTTGATTTAGAAAATATCCTAATTTTGAGTTAAAAATAATCACCAAAGTAAAGATTAAATTCTCACTTATGCTACTTCAAACAAGAACAAATTTTTCTTAATTTTTTTAATCATTTAGGCCATTTAAGGCAAACACATACACCTCACATATGCAAGACTCGAATCAAATACCTCTTAGCTCGTAACCAAAGTTCTCAACAAATAGATCAAAGATAGCTACCAACAAATCAATGAGAGCTACGTATTTCTCTCAACTTTGAGACGTGGTTGACAAATACAATAATCGAGCCAAAGAGAACTTATGGTGTTTTTCTCAAGTTCATTGAGAGGTGTTGTAAATTGCGAGGGGTCCTTTTGAGTGCAATCCAATGAGAGAGAACTTGACATGGTGGATATAGAGTTTAAGCTTGTGATAGGAGATATCTTTTTCATGCATGGCAAGATGTTGATGTCAATGAAGGTTTTGAGTCATATCTTCATCAAGAGAAGTGAGTCAAGATTAGTGAGCAAGGTATCATACATATTTGATATGTAAAATAGTATATGCAATAGCCCATTGCATAGCATTGTGCACATATGCACTATTTGTATGACAGTTACATAAAAAACTAACATGTGCTACTTATAATATAATGCACAATGCATATGCTGAGCATTATTTCGTTTCATAGTTCATTTTTCTCAGTAGAATGATTTATTTAAATTACCTGTTTGAATAAAAAAAACATTAATATAGTGTAAAAACATCAAAATGAGAGTTTTTCATAGCTAAATTTAATTCTCATGCAAATTAATGTGCTCGCAGTTGAACTGAAGTGACATAAAAGATCTATTAGGGGTAAAAAATTAAAGTTGGAGGATCGTAGTCGAGCGACGGTGGTCAAACAATAGCGGTCTTATGATAGTGGACAATGGCGATTCAATTGTGGTGGCCAGATTGTTGCGATTGGGTGATGGTCTAATGGAGCTCCAAGATTCTTTTAGTCTCTAAGCTATTTTGAATCTCAAGCCAAGGTGTAAAGCTCATTTTCATACAAAGAATAATGGTCAATTTATAAATTTTGAAAAATAAAAATAATATGCCTCATAAATATAATCAAAACCTATAATACTCTATCAGTCAAGCTGTATTGATTTTTACTTTCACCATTTAAGTGCCTTAATGGCCTCAAAATGTGATGATTTCTTATTGTTTGATTAATCTCATTAAGACGCTTGATTTGATTATCAATATGCAAAGTTTACAAATTATTTGGCCATCCAATTACTATCCCAAAGTTTCGTATAATTTTTCAAGTGCTTGATTTGGACTCATTTAGAATCGGTTCAGACAAATTTTCTGTCATTTTATATGTCTTGTCAAGACGTTCAATTTCACCATAAGTTTGTTGAAATCAAAGTTCGGATGATCCTGACTTTAATTTTTAAAGTTTAAAATTCAATTATTCATCGAGATTTATATACTACTAAGTCAATTTTTTTATATATCAATGTTAAATTAGGAGGTAGGTATAACTTTACCAAAATATTAATGAATTTGATGAATTTATTTGTTAATTAAGGTAATCAAATTATTATAATTTAACTCAATCTCTTAGCAATTTTAAATAAAACGTGGGTTTTAGTTCAATTGATAAAAATTTTAAGAATTATTATTAAAAATTTATCTTTGATTATTTTTTATGTGTTTTGGTTGAAGTATTAATAGTTATACATTGTAATTAAAAGATGAACATAGAACAAAGTTTCTGATGATTTTAATAAAATTTAAATTTTTTGCATATAAAATTTCGGAACTGTTGCTACTATTCTAATTTAAAAATATTTGTTCTATTTTGCATAAAATAAAACACACTAAAGTAAACTGTTAAGTTTCATTTACAAGCAAATAATCATTACAAAATATTGTTAATATAATATAATGTTTTATATTATATTTTAAAATGCATTGAACAAAACAACTTTGGATAAATGTTATAAAATATTTTATTTTATTAAGAGACAAATACTTTTTTATATGCTTTCAAAAACTTTGGAAGTGCCATATGAGGTATATAAATTTTTTTTAGAAAATAATTATGATGAAAATAAAAGATATATAAAAGTTCTTACTTTAAATAAAATTTTTAAGCAATAAAATAAGATGAAACATGTTAATAATCAAAATAATATAGGACAGAGTTATGTAATTTAATATTTAATATGTATATGCAAAAAAATGTATATTAAACATGAGAACTTTCCCCATGACATGATATGCATATGCAAAACTTATATATATTAAACGTGTAATTACAACATTTAACATGAATATGAACATGCATAAATTGTCATATGTATGATTCTTTAGAAGTGACACATGCATGTGAAATATACATACACAAACACTTTCATCATTTTAAAAACCATTCATTTGAGACATTTATACTATTGTTTTAGAACACTTAGTAAATGGTGGCTAATACAAAAAAATATCACATATATCAAGAAATACTCAATATTTTGTACAAACAAAACCAATCGATGGAATTTCAGTTTCCTGCGGTAAAAATACTAAGAACGGTGTATTCTACAATATAGTATAAACTATATTTTGACAAAACTATTAAATTCAATAAAATCACATTTTATTTTGTATTTTTTTGTACAAAAGTTGAAATTTAAATTATAAATAGGATATTGGGAGCCTACCTTGAGTTTAATGTTTTCCTTAATCGGCCTAACTAACGAACTTGGCTCCACGACCTTCGAAATTCCCTCTATTTTGCTTTCTCCTCTTCCTTTCTTTTCCCTTCTGCAACAACAGAGCGAGGCGAGTGAATTTTAAAAAATGGATACACACACGTGTACACACACACTTCATCCTTGATATTGCATCATTGTACTTCATCAAACATTTGAGATACTCCCACATAAAAAGCTCAACACCGCAGTGTTCTCACCAGTGCCGCCGTGCTTCCCAAATTAGTACTACAATATAGAGAGCTAAGCTCCATAGCGCCATCACGCAAAACATCACTAAGCTCCTTCTACCAAGTTTCCCTAAACAAAAAAGGATAGTGCCACTATGTAATTAATGCAACACTTCGAAGGATCATTTTATGCATCTCGCTTGTTAACTTGTTTTGAGATCATCATAGACTCATTTAGACTTTAATAAGCACTTAATATACATAGGGGCATGCACAAAATTCTTACCAGGTAAACCGGGTCAACTTGTTTATGTAGTGATAAATATTATAATGCGCCACTGATCCAACTGTTGAGCATCATTTTTTTTATTTAAAGAAATAAATCACCTGCTAATGACACATGGCCAACCCTCATTGATCGATTTGGAGACTTTGGCCCCATAATTGATGGAAAATTATTTCGATTTTAACTCCACTTGGGAGAGTTCCACCAAGTGTTGAGGAGCTGATGTATCATATCATGTGGATCAAGATAATCAAACTAAACATCAAATGCTAAGAGACAAGGCTAAAAAGAAAAAGCCAAATTACAAAAACCCAATTATGAACTCAAAATTTAAATTAGTTTAAACATAACTTATATTTTTATTTTCTACTTAGGGACATGTGTAGCTAGCCTTAACATGGAGGAAGCATTAAAAAGATGGATTGGAAATCCTCTATCATTAATAATCACTAACCCCTTATCCCTCCCTTTGTCACTCCATATGTTAACCCAATAGTCATGTTGTGTGTATAACTATGAACTTTAATGATTTAAAATATACATTAATTAATGAAATGTTTTGGTGAACGAAGTGTTCTTCATTTGTCGTGTGCTTTGTGGTGTATTTTGCTTATCTTTGAAACATCTAGTTAGATAGTTATCATTAAATTCTCTTTTAAGATTTTTGCTACTCTTCTCTTAAATCTATTTTGAATTCTTTAAAACTCTTTTCACTTTATAAGCATCCAATCCCCTCCTTGAAGCTCTCGGCCAAATTAAGGAGAGCAAAGACCTAGTTTTTTTCCAAACATCTTTACACCCCCTTAAACTCTATAAATTATTCCAACCGTTTATTTCATTCACAAATTAACATTTTAAGCTAGCAATTCACTATGAATTTCAACCATTTACACCACTTAAAATTCATTCATTAAAGTGGTCATCTAAATCCATGGGCGGATCCCCATTGGATTGATAAAGCATGTTTTGTTCCAAACATCTTTACACCCCGCAAATGCCCACCCTTATATATATATATTAATTTTAGAGGGTATTTTTTGAAATATTTTAAGTATTTTGGATATTTTGCCCCCTCTAAAAAAAATTTTGCCCTAATTTTATCAATCCTGAGTGTCTTTGTCTATCCCCCACCAAATTTTTTTTTTGCCCACCCTGAAAAAAGAAGCTAGATCCGCCCCTATCTAAATCTGCTTAAACTATATTAATCTTGATATTCCTTCCACCACACACCTCTAAACCCCTCAACTTTCCTCCACAAACTCCATATTTCTTATATATTGAACATAAGACAACTATTTTTTTGCCATTAATCTCACCAAAATGTTACCCACCACTTTCATATAAGGTTCCTTATAAAGCATGTTTTAGCCATGTTACCCTTTAATGTTTGCAGGTTTCTATAAGTAAAACTATAAAATGGAGAGAAGCATAAGAACATTAAAGCCTTGCAGACTATTACTTGAATGGTCCATAAGGTGCAAAATATGGATGTTAATGTCATGCGGCCAACTTTTCCATTTCTAATTGATTAATGCTTCGTTTGTGACTGCTTTTTTATTGCTTCTTAAAATAGAATTTTAGTAAAAAAATTACTCAGTTTTAAGAAGCAATAAAAAAGCTATCCCAAACAAAGCCTAAGACTTCGACTTCGTTTGTGATGGCTTTCTTACTGTTTCTTAAAGAAACTTTCTAGTACAAAAATTTTAACTTTTTAACTGGAAAGGCGCTTTAAGAAGTGGGAAGAAAATCATCCCAAACGAAGCCTAAACCTCTTATTTAAGTCAAATAAAGCTATTTATAAAAAAATATGCATAAACATATGAAAATCCAAGAGAATTGTAGTGCAAATTAAACAAATTCCAGCTTCAACCAAACCAATATATTGGAGAAAGGGTGAGCATAATATTGGACTAGTTTGATTCCTCATGAAGATACCAAGTACATCCTTTAGGCTATAATCAAGAAAGTAGAGATGATGATGCTAATATGTTGCTCAAGCCTATAAAACACATTCATTCATAGCATAAACAAATCATATAAATGTTGTATAATTAATTAAATATTTTTTTCCTTCTCAATAAAATTTTAAGTATAATTTCTCCTTAGATGTTTGATATAATTCATATATTCATATCAAATTTGTGCTAGCATATTTTATAAAACAAATGAATTCCAGCCTGAAAAAGAAGTCCACAATATTTAATAGTATAATTGTTTTCTTTAATATTGACATGTGAACATCTAAATTAAAGAATTAGCACATAAAATGTTAGAATGCATTATTAGTTCTAATATCGACATACCGCAAAGTTTCTCCACAAGTGAAAAGAGTTGTAACCTTGAGAATATTTCTACTTTTGAGTTTGGCTTTTTAGTCAAAAGCTTATCCATATTTTATCTCACTTTAAATTGAGATGACATCAAGCGTTGCTTCACTGCATTCTTATAAAGAGTTCTCTCTCTCCCTCTGTTTGGATTAGCTTTCTTTTTCTAATTTTTAGTATTAATTCATTTTCAAAAATACAATAATGCTTTTTTATCAATTAAACAACATGTCAAGACATCATTAATAAATTAAATAAGGATCCATTGTTATTATGTTTACAAAAAATTATTGATAAGTTCTTCACAAGATCTTCCCATTGCTTAAAGAAAACGCCTAAGGGCTTGTAGCACATTTCAAGTATTTTATAAGGAATAGAAGAAAGGGGATCAATTGGTTATAATATGTAGCTCTATGATTTTTGATTGGGCACAATTTTCTATCTTGATAATATCATTAGGATCAATCAATAATTATATTTGATTTTATACAAGTTTTTGAATTAATATCAATGTAAATATCATCAAATCTCATATTTACTGAGCAACTTTAGGTTGAAATATACATCCTACAAAACTTTTGCATAAGATATTTGAAGAAAATATTCTTTTGAAAATAAGCTAAAAAAACAATTGTGTCATTTCAAAACTTGTGAAGAATAACTTCCATATGCATGTAAGAGTCCTCTATATCATTGATTAGTTTGATATTTTTTTGAATACCTAGAAATAATAATTTCTTCACTAGTGAAAACACCGGCGACTTGGCCGCCAGTAAAGGCGCCGTGAAAACAGAAAACTGGTGGCCTACTTGGGGGTTATTATATCGCCGGTATTTTCGGCGGTGTATTATTAAACACTACCGGGTAAACCGTCTGTTAATACCGGTGGTCTGACAGCCGGTTAAACTGCCAGTAATTTCAGTGGTTTTTTGACCGCCGGAATGACCGATGGTAATTGTTGATTTTCCTGTAGTGACTAAATTTGTCTTTGATTATTGGTGAAACATTAAATTTTTCATATGGATAAAGCAACATCATCATTCATGAATAAATAAAACAATACTATTCTCATGGAGATCAATACAATAACTAATCTATCATAAACTCTTGACTACAAACGAATAAAAGAAAATGTATAACAAAATCTAAAGGACCTGACGATTGTTATCAATATCATTGCTCATGATCCTGACTCCTTCCCTGACTTGAAATCATGAAAATTTATATAATGAGCAAAAATGTCTAGTAGATAACCAAAACTCTATCACTATTTTCAATGCAAGTTAAAAGAATTAATATGCATATTTTGGTTCTAGTAAATATTAATCATGACTTAATATGAGGAATAAAAATTAAAAAAAAAAAAATCAATAATAAAAACAATATGATTAGCGAAGACAAAAAAAAATCTATCAAATTATAAAACATATGATAAAGAGTACTACCACTTAATGAATCATGTCAGTATCTTATGCTATATTGTATCAATATTAATATTGATAATGCTAATACGATTTTAATTATATTATCAATTAATTCAATGTAATATCATGTAAATGCAATCATGAATGCAACGTTTTTTTTTTTTCGACCTGTCACCCCAATTATTATCCAGTTGAGTATCAATCTTAATCTAGGCATAACTGTTAATTAGTTAGTATCAGTTAACCCGAACTGTCGCCCAGTTGAATATCAATCTTAATTAAACCAAACTGTCAACCAATTGATATTGATCTTTATCTTCATCGTTAACAAACATCCTTCTATCTAGCCTCCATTATATGCAAATGCTATAATTTTGTTAATGTTATATATGAAATGCATGCAGTATTTTATAAAATATTGGAAAATCTATCAAATTTATCTATATGCATTTACTTTAAAAAATTATATCTTCCAATTTAACTGGTGAAAAATATAACATATTTCTATTAAATGCTCATGTTGACGAGATCTATCACATACAAAAAGTTATGCACTGAAAACTTTACCAATATAAAATTATTCTCATTTTTCGGTAAAAAAAAAAACAAATTTGATTAAAAAATATTTAAAAAATAAATTATTGAAATAAAAAATAGGGTAATGATTCCTTACATTGAGATGAGAAAATCTCTCAATAGGACCGACTGACAAAAATTGTTCTACAATCTCCAAATCCTATATCTTACTTTGTCTCTCCTCACATTTCTTCTCAAATTTCTCAAACAATTCTCTATTAGCCGAAAATGAACAGGGAAAAGGGATTTTAAAACGTTTTAAAGCTTTAGGATATTATGGTTAAAATAATAAAATAATTATATAATTTAATCAATTTTCAATACAAATTTAATATAAATCCTTTTTAAGCTTTTAAAATTATAAAAAATATCCATAACATAACCCAAATTATTTATAAAATACTGATAAAATCGGTTTGCAAAACGGGCACCTGATAGTTCTAAAATCTTAACTTGTACCGATAGGTACCAATTTCTTAAGGTTTTGTACAAGTGCCCAAAATTTACTGAAAATTTATTATAATTAAAATACAATAATATCTATCTTATGATGAAGACGGTTTTCAAATTTGACTTATAACGACTCATAAAAAAAAATATTTTAACTAAATTAAAAATTGGGTTAGTACAAATACCATGTTAGAAATTTCAAATATGAACTTTATTCAAACCTCATTTGAATACTAAACCTTAAAATATAGCTCGAATTGACTTTGAATAAGATTCAAACCTCATATTACTCATTCAAATCGTGTTTGAATCTTATTCAAACTATCTTGAAATCTTATTTGAATTATGCTTGAATGAGCTCCAAACCAAGTTTAAACTAGCCCATCCATTCTTTCAATTTTTTGTATAAACAAATGAAATCATTTAGATGGATTAAGACTATAGGAGGTCAATATAAATCCAACAATGATAATATTTGATGAGGAAAGAAAATTAATTCAAAAACATGTCTATGTTTATTCATTTTAGGCAATAATTATGGAGGCATATTTTTATTTATTTTCTTTCATTCTCAAATATTTCTATTGTTATAGCATCTCCAACTGAGCGCCAAACGTGCGTATGGCGTCGTTCTGTCGCTCCAGCCGAACGCCAAAATCTTCCGCCATTTACTTGCGGATGAACAATGCGACGCCAATATTGGCGTCGCAATGTTCACCTACACTATTTTGCTCTCTCAACCAGAAAAACGCTTGAAAGGAAGAAGGATCGTTACCTTCGCAGAAGCACTAAAAATGGAGTTAGATTGGAGCAGCACCACGACATTTTAGAGTTTTGCTGTATTTTATCGTGAAAAATGAAGTTCTCCGTTGGATATGCCCTTAGAGAGGCTGGAACTGCATTTCTTTTATAACTGAAAATCTATAAATTTAATTAAAATTGATAAATGTAATTATATAAAAATAAAATAATTAAATTACTAATATAAGATATATAGTTTTTTTTTTTAAATTTAATTAAAACTTTGAGCTTAATAAAAATAATAAAAAAAAACAAGTTAAGATTTTAAATCTTGAAACTCAGCACCAATTCGGCTCCTCTCGGTTCATTTACAGCCACACCGAATTTGCCTAAAGTCGCCCCAGCTCAGTTGGAGTTATCCGGCTCCTGAGGATAGGAGAAGATAGCGAAAGTGGAGAAGAAAGCCTCTTTATTCAGTGAAGAATACCTCCATGGAAGCAGGAAGGAGCGTCCTTTATACTCCTCCTCCTTCAATCTCCAGAACCCACCTCAGAAATCCACTCTCCCTTTCTTCAGGTACTCTCCAAATCCTTCTATTGCCGCTTTCTTTCTATGATATCTTCTCTATCGTAGCTCTTTCTCAATATCTTTATTTCTATTCCTGAACTGTTTAGTTGAAAATAACTCTGTTTGGAGAACTAGGCATTTGCAGTGCTTATGATGACCGAAATGCTGCTGCTTTAGCATATTTTTATATGAAACTTCCATTTTTTTTTTGGTTGTAGAGTTGTGTTTATGGTGCCAACATTGTTTCTTTTAATTTCTAATTTTAAAAATATTGGCTTTTGAGTTTATTAGTTGGAGTCTCAGTCATTCAAGTGTGATTTTGATGCATGAAAGTTGGCTTCTTTATTTTTTATTTTTGGGAAATTTGAGAGCTGTGTTCAAATTAATTAATAATCAGAAGCCATATACAAGGCCAAAGCTCATAGTCTGAAAAGCTCTGACCAAACTACCTTCAAAACTGACCCATGTAGAGCACCAAAATTAAAGACACTAGGAATATGGATGGAGCACTGGAATCAAAACAAGGTAGCAGGTGATGCCTTCTCATGTGGAACCAAGGTTGGGAGGAAAGCGAGGAGCAAACTGCCAGCTAAGGCCGACCAAAACAACATCATGGTGACAGAAGATATCCAAACTGTAGCCAAATACGGATAGAGCAAAGCTGCAATAACCATGGAACCACAAGTTTCTTCACAAAGGAAGAAGGCAAGGATTCCAGTATTCATCATTGTCCCCAAGAGCCAAAAGCAAATCATAGTAGCAGATTGTTGGGAAGGAAAGCATGCAACGAAACAAACAAGAAAAGAAAACGATGAAAATTAATATCAGGATTTAATGTGTAAAAATATGAAAGTGAGAAAAAACCACCGAGACATGCCGCACCAAGAAATTCACTATAAAAATTGAGAAAGATTGTACAAATATATCTTCTTACGCTCTCTCATTGTCTCACTTCACTTCTCTCTTTGTCCTCAACTCAAAATAGACAATGAGACACTTTTCAATACTCAAAAGGGCGAAATCCTTCAACTGAAAAAAAAAAAGAGAAGAAAATTGCCCAGCTTGACTCGCAGCATCGTGACATTAAGGTCTGGAGCGCTACAACTCTCCACTCTCTATTTTCTAGTCCACCCTAAAATGGCTCAGTGTTGCAGCCTACCACGTCGTGGCATTGCAGCCCACCACGCCGCTGTGCTCTACTCTCTGTCTCAAACCAGAGACTACAATGTTGTATCATTGTACGTCTATACAAAAAAAAATTTTGAGGGGTCAAAGCTGTCAAAATCCAAGCAGGGGGAGCATAGCCCCCTGCAACCCCCTGACGAGCTCGACTGATGTTATTGAGGTCTGATACAATAGTACAATCCGATTGATTGACATTTTCAGATTCCACACAAAACTAATGATGATCAATAGTGAATCCCACCAATTAGCAACCGTTGACCAAAACAAGCAGAAGATCCACATAAGCCTCAAAAGGCAAACCCCAAAACTATTAAATTTCTAAATGAAGAGGAACAATGCTAGGTAGAATTTGAAGGAGCAAGCTTCAGTCAATGACTTGCGACCATATGGTTGGGTCCTTTGGGATGCTTTATGTTCCTCGATCAGTGGATGCTCTATTAATCAGTACATTACTTTGATGAGGGTTTGTATCCATTGAATTCTATAATAACCAAATTAGGATGTCCTGTCTCGAGATGGAATCTCTCAAAAAGACCTTGCTTTTGGACTAAGATATCAAGCGTGTCGGGTGTTGTATCTTCCTCGTAGGAATGACGCTTGATTTGCCAGTCAAAGTTTGCATCATAATTGCTCATAAAAATATCCTATAATGCAAAAAAAAAATAGTGTCGCATTCAAAACTTCACTTGATAGCACAATATTTTCAAAATAACACATTGATTCAAGGGTCGAATATTATGTATCATGTTATTCATTTCAAATCAAATATTATAAAATAATATGTTAGTGATAAATAATTAAAGTTTGTATGTGCTAAAAATAGATGTCATTGAACTTAATTAAAATACTTAAGAAAGATTAGATGCGAGATGAAAGAGACTAGTTAGAGGAAGAGCAATTCTTAATAATTGTGTAGATAATATAAAAGAGAAAAATAATTGTGATGAGTATGTTTGCTAGAATAGCAAAGAGATTCCAACGGATGCATTAGGAATACCCTAGTTAACAAATTATCTATCATCTTAGTTTCCTGAATATAAAAAAATAAATGTAAGATAATATCTCTTAAACCAAATAAATTTATCCCATTGGACTATTGGTAAACTAGCATTTAAAATCCTCTTGGCCTCATTGAAAGAGAATGAGTGCTTAGGATTCTATAACATAGAGTCCTCCCTGTCTTGAAGATAAACCTCCAAAATGACCTTACATAGGTTAGGAGCAGTGAGATAGAGAGATGCAAGCAATTTCTAATTACCATTTTTTCAACGATAAACAATAAAATGATGTTGGTTTTAATGTTAAATAGCGATAATTGTAAATCTCCAATAACTTCTCTGAGAGTTGATATCCCCAATTAAGGGTTAAGAAACTAAGTTGAAGTGAGATGGATCATCCGCCTTACAAGTAAGAGAGTTATGCAGAAAGATAAAATAGATTAAGAGACCGTCACAGTGGAGAGAGAAAATTATGAGACTAGATAATCCCACATCATTATTGGTTATCAAGAGTAGATTTATTAAGAGCATTTTAAGGAACTTTCATTTGCAAAAACTATTCAGAGTATAGGCGTCCTTCTAAGCAATACAAAGGTTATTTTCATAATAAGTTGAATATATGTCAATTTAATTAATCAAGTAGGTTAGAGTCCTGAATATATAATCACAAGGGTCCAAATCTCAAAACAATGCCAAGGTGGTGGAGTGTATGCTGGTGAAGGTAAACTTACAAGAATAATTGATTGCCAAAGTGGACCTATGTCTCATGCAAGTGGACTAGTTTGTCAACCCCAATCCCTTAAAAATCCTTTATATGATAACATATTAAAAGCAAGGGAACATAATACATGTCAAAAGTTAAACTCTGAAAATAACCACAAGTTGATCCAAAGGTCCTATAAAACATGTAGCATTTCATAATTGGTTAGTTGGGGGCTGGGATGTGAGCTAAAACAAAAATATAAAAATTATAATCACAAGTAAGTTTCTTTTGAAAAATAGCTCGAATGTATTTTTCTAAATACAAGTAAGTGAAGATTTCCTAAATAACATGCCAAAGAGAATACAATAGCATGCAATGCATGATAAAGCAATTTAATTACAATATGAAGGTCAGTCATGTGTCATCACATCTAACAAAGACAAATTACCATTTAAAACATAAGTTTTGAAGACAAAAACAGGTATGTAAGTTTTAGATGATGATATGCCGTCCTTCATTAGAAGATCAATCTTAAATACATAAGTGCTATCATCCTCATTAAGGATATGATCCCTAAACACATGACATAAAAATGACTCGATCAAATCAATGTAATCATCGATGGTTAATGGGGCATTAATAATAGGAGGGTCCAAAGTATGAACTTGACTAGGAAGAGTTCGTAACTCATCACAAAACTAACTAAAAATAGACTAGCAGAGTAGCAGTCATGCGGTGAAGTGATATAGGCTTGGTTGTTGGAAATGGAACAACTGCTTTATGGTGAAAAGATTGACTCTTTTTTTTATATTTAAACATAAAATTATTGTTTTCTTAATGAAAGACATTCATGTCACACAACTAAGGTTTACTAAGAAGGATGTGAGTTGCATTTATATTCTTGGCATCACACCAATTGATTTATCATGACTTTCAAATTTGATTGACCCTAAGCATCTAAGTGTTAACATGCAGAAGAAGTGTTGTTGACCCACTTAACATGATAAGGTGCAAGATGAGACTTATTGGTCAAATCAGACCTAGTGATAACCTTTGGGGAAACTAAATTCAAATCACTACGATTTATAATCACAAGTTGACAGTTTTTAATCCTGCACGCGATATACAAGTGAAAAAGATTACTTCTCACCCAATCACTAAAATTTGAAGTTTATTTTTTGAATATGAATGGACATCGATTGATAAATGAAGTTTCCCTAGTCCACAACAATTTCAATTATTTTAACTAAGAAAATCGGAATTGGAAAAAAAGACCTTTGAGAGTAGTAGATCGAGATTGTGCTTAATTTTCCAAAATTTTGGACATAGAAGATTAAAGAGTTACAGAGCAGGTGTTTACCAACAGTGTAACAAACCAAAGAGATCTCCCTGTTCCATACTTTGACATCAAGCTAATCCTATGAGAAGATATATTTTTTAGGTTAGTGGGGAGGACTGACATGGGGAAATGCTGGAGAGGTAGTTCAAGGTCCTAAAAGAGATGAAAAAGCTCCACGTGAATAAGCTTCGAGGGGTGGCTGGAGTCTAAACCTTGTAGAATCTGGGAAGCCATAGGCAATGAGAAGAGATTTGCAAGAGAGAAGGTATCCAGAAGAAGGTTTTTGTGTAGCTTTTTGGTTGGCAAATGAGAAGCCAATGCAGAAAGGTAGGGGAAGAGGAACTTGTCCTCCGACCAAGGTTGGAGGCAGGGGGAGGCTAAGGAATGCTTAAGTGAACCTGAAGGAATGTCAATGCTAGGAGGAGAAGGGCCAGATAGAGTGGAGGAGAAAGATGGTGGTAGGTTCCTGCAGACAAGAACAAGCCGTGGTCCTCTCATGGCTTGTTGTATTGCTAAGTTAGATTTTGTAGAGAAGGTGGGGTAGTATTTATTAAAGATATAATGCTGAAAAATAGACAGATGTGGTATGGGCATGAATGATAGAGGTCAATGGATGGACTAACAAGACAATGTAGTGAATGGAGAATGCCGATTTGCAGGGCCTACACAAATAGTTGGGATGATGGTAATGATAAGGAGGATGCTATGCTATTTTAGGTGATAACGGTAACCTAATATTAAGATCTGTCAATGTAGCAGGCTTGCAATTATTTCCTGCCTGAATTGGAATGTAATGTGGTAAATCTACATCCGTTTGTGAGGAAATGCTGGTGTTTGTAGATTTGATTTTTTTTGGAATTACAGTTGATTTGAGAGGTGGATATTTTTACTTTACGGCTAATGCTGTTTTCTTGAGCTATAGTTCTTTGGATTTAGGGGTTCTGTATTTGAAAAATTTCATAGGATTAGGCTAAATGAGTTTGGAAACTTTTGTTATTGTTGAGCATGACCAGATTATGTTTTTTATAAACGTTGTCTTCTGTACATCCTTAGTTGCTATCAAAATTTTCATCATATATTAAGTAAAGCTTCCAGTTGAAGCCATCTTGAAATCCTGCCTAAAATTTCACTATTAAGAATCCCACGAGTAGAATAAGTGCTGCATGACTCTTCTTGTAGGAATGCTATTATGGATTGCAAACAAAGCATGAAACATACTCAAAATTGTCAAATGAAACTAGTGTAAATGGCGTTGACAAATCCGAAGACATTTACTAAGGCTTCATTTGGCACGGCTTTCTTACTGCTTCTTAAAGCAACTTTCTATTACAAAAATTATTTTTTTAATTTTTCTATTAGAAAGTTGCTTTAAGAAGCAGTAAGAAAGCCGTCCCAAATGAAACCCAAATATTTTGGTTGAATTTCTTTAAAGAAATGGCTATTTACATTTGGATCAAAACTGCTTGAATTAGACTCTTCACTCTGTGTTATTTCTAATGCAATTATCAAATAAGATTGCACATTTACAACAAACTCTTTTTACCACATTGAAAGCAATTTTCTCCCTTTCTGAGTCATTAGTTGTGAGGCTGCATGGTCAAGTAAGCCGAGCGATTTTCAGTACCCCAACAAAATCTGCAGATCGGCATTTCAATACATCTATTCTCACACAAGAGCAACATAATTACTATAGCAGCTCTTACGGTATCCAGGAAGAAAAAGGGGCCCAGGTAAAAAGATTGTTACATTCTTGCACAGAAAAGGAAAAGAATCTTTGTCTCTGCTTAAATGCCCAACTTCTTTTTGTTAATTAATTTTACTTCAATGTAACCTCAAATGAAGGTCTAGCTAAGCTTGCCTAGTGACTTTTTGTTATTTCAGTTATACCTCAATGTTACTTAGAAATGAAATTTCATAACATACCATCTTTTGCATACAAGCTCAGCTTCTTTTTGTTACTTCAATTATTCACCTATGTAACTCCAATGAATGTCTGGCAATACATGCTGGATTTACACAACAATTTTTGCGACTAGATGACTCGAATCCGGACCAATTTGTCTAATTAAATGCTTTTTCTATTCAGTTTATTACAATGCATAGTGTTATTTTTTGAGAAACACTTCAACTTTAAGTCATTTGTATTTCTTAGTTATATATGATATTTTTTTTGAATTTTTTGTAAGCTGAAGAATAACATTCTATAAGAACATGTTCACGTGTCCTTAATTTCTCACATGTTTTCCACTAACACGAGCAAATTAAATGGAACTTATGCTTACACTTGGTCTACTTTAATTTGTTGGGATTTTTTAGAAGAAATAAGTAAATAACATAAGCGTTCGGTAAACAATTTATGTTTAATCATTTAAGACATTTTGAAGAGGTTTGGCTGAGAAAGATGTGATTTTGGATTTTTTTTTGTTGAGCCGTCATCTATGGATAGCTATTGTGATTATTTATGTTAGTATTATATGAGAAAAACTTCTGTAAGAACCCTTTTTTTCCATACTAATCTCATAATTGAATTGCCCCATTTGGTGATGGAAATTATTTATTAGTAGTAGATAAAAGTGAGGGCAAGTTAAAGTTGCATTAGAATAAGAAACTATGGTGACAGTGATTCTGAATAGAATGTTTCCCACTTTGATGTTACGCCCAACAGGAAGGGCGGAAGGCTTTCGCCTGGTTCGGAATAGCTGAACCCAGCAGACAGCAACGATGAAATTTCGGCCCCTCTTGTGGGGCCTAGAAAAACTATAATTCAATATGTAAGGAGGAGAAATCAAGAGAGAGATACTTAGGAAGGTTTTAATTAAAATTAGGGGAATTATTTAGGAAAACATATCCAAATTGAATTCAAATTAGAGGGGGAATCTTATTAGGAAAGTAGGCTGATTTGGGAAGGAATTGAGGAAGCCTATTTAGGGCTAACTATCGGGGGATTTGAGGTATGCAGAATTTGTGTTTGCTTTACTTTTATTTAGCAAGTCTCTAGTGTCGGCTGGGGTTTGTGGGAGACTTGATCTACCTCTCGAATAGTAGATCAATTGTATCTTGTTTGCTTTTGAAGAAGAAAGAAAGAAATAAATAAATAAGTACAACATTTAGCTTTGTGTTCCTACACTTTTCTTCTTTCTTGTTTGATGTTTTTACTTCCAAGATGCATCATTTTATTGTCGCATAAGTATTGACTAATAAAAATAATAAATCAATGATAAAAATGATCTTTAAATTTTTTATCTGCCCATAGTAATTTCAAAATTTTTCAGTGTTTAGTTTAATTCCTCAACTCATCAAATCTTCACCTCTTTAATCCTTCCGTCGTCTAAGCTGTGGAATTGAAGGAAGCTGTTCGTGAGTAGCAAACTCTGTGGGCAGTCTGAACCTTTCAAGCTGAACCTTTTTTTTAAGCAAGTTTAATTGTAGTAATTGCATTGAACTGCTTCTTTGATAATGTAGTTGACATCATATCTGTTACAAATGTTATGGTTGAATTAAACCTACTGTGTTGCTTATTCTTATCAAGGTTTTGAATTTCCAATATTGCTTTTGCTGAGCATTTTTTTTTTCTTTTGCTGAGCATTAATATTATATAAATTTGATTATAAAAAGCTGTTGCTTCGCACAACAACTATGCAATCATTATAGTTAGATTAATCCATAGGTTTGGTACAGTGTGAAAGAGATTATAGTAGGCTTTAGTATATATCTTATTCAAGGTTTTCAACATATTGTTCTCAAGCTGTGTGTTAATTTTATGCTGCACTTGGATATAGAAAAAGCTTATATTTGATTTTATGCTAAGCTTGGATATCTTTAGCTGACATCAGTTTGTATTTATTTGTCCTCATGGTGAGATGCTCTAGTTGAATCGGATTCCAAAGGGAATGTTTGCATTTGAAACTTTATTTATTTATTTTTTCAGTTGCTTGAAGACCACCATGGAAGAGGGAAAAATATTTAATTAATACCCGCATGTTCTATGTGTATGCAACTTACTTTATGGTTGGGAACTTGAGAAGAATGTCTCCCATTTGAGGCTTCATTTAGGATGGCTTTCTAATTGATTCTTAAAGCAGCTTTTTAGTTAAAAAATTAAAAATTTTGTACTAGAAGCTGCTTTAAGAAGCAATAAGAAACCGTTCCAAATGAAGCCCAAATCTCATCGCCTCATGTAAAAACAGTTGATAATACCTTCAACCTTTGACAGGCTTACGTCAATTACACGCGATTGAAATGGCAAAAGAATCAAAATAGTTACGATTTGATAAGTTGGGGGCTAATTTTGACACTAAGAAAAGGTCGGGACTAAAATGGACACATCTTGGGGTCATTTTAGCAATTTACTCAAAATAATAGGAATTTAATGTGTCATTAATTGCATTTTCGATCCAAACTGATAAGAAAAAAGCGCCTATAGACATCCCCTATCACAATACCAACAAAATGAAGAGTCTACTAGGTATGTAAACCATTGAAGTAACCTTTAAGAAAACAATGATTTTATCTTTCATATTATTTTCTTGTTGATCTTTATTTAATCTGATTATATACTTTGATTATGCCATTTATTTTTAAAATGATTTGTGCAACTCGGTCCTGCTTTATTGATTCCGAAACTGGCTCTCTCACGATAAGGTGCATCTGGCCATGCTTTGATGTATAGTTATTAATTTCCAAGAGTTCCAATAATTTTTTCTATGAATTTAATATGCTAAATTTAACATTCAGGCAATCTTTGATTTGCAAAGTTTGGAGGATGGTTCTCTTTCTTCTGACGAGAGAGGAAAACATCATTTTGACGTTTATTTGAAACATTTGGAACGCCGTCTACTTTATGATCCAGGGTTATGGTATTCGTAAGAAAAACAAGGCTTCTATCTCTTAAGTCAAAATTTCCTAACTGTGTGTGTTTGTTTGTCAATCATCTTCTTCCTTATTGTTTCAGATTTCTCACTAAATACAATTTGGAAAAGGCTGTCATGAGAACCACAGAGTTGATCAATAATAAAAAAGCAGGTGTGGGTGTTGAACTGATGGAAACAGAACAGGCTAATACAAGTACTATGCGTCCAGAGGACGTTCTTGAACTTGCTAGAAGAGCCTTAATGGCTTCTCGAGATGCTGCATTATTAGCAGAAAAATCTAACAGCTTCTCACATGAGCTTGTGGAAAAAATTAAGGTTCCAAGGTTTGTTTCATGCTCGCAATACCTTTTACTTGACCACTTAGCATTAAGCAATAAATTTACTGCATTCCTGAAATGAAATTTGTTTGTCTTTCACTTTGTTTGGATCCAAGTGAATCTAGCACTGAAAGTATGATTGGGGAAAAGAAAGCAGTGAGATCAAGAAAGCTTTTGGAGAGGCAGTCTAAGAAACGAAATGTCTTCAAGAATTCAAGCAATGTTCCTTCTGTAACTTCCATGGCTACGGACAACGTTAAAGTCAAGAGGATAGATAAAATATTTGACAATAACGACCCTCTAAGATTGTTTTTGTGGGGTTCTGAGACAAAGAAGCTATTAACAATTGCAGAAGAAAAAGAATTATTTGCTCAGATACAGGCATATCTTAGAAGGATGAGTAGCAACAAATTGTACATCTATCTGATAGTTATAAATTCTTTGTCTCAATTTGTTCTAAATAGAATCTCATTATCAGGATCTTATGGAAATGGATGTGGTTAAAGAAAAGCTTCACATGCAATTTGGCCGTGAACCAACACTGATCGAGTGGGCTGAAGCTGTTGGAATGAGCTTCCATGATCTGCAGGCCTGCATTTCGTCTGGAATGCACAGTCGAAACAGAGTGATTTATGCTAATTTCCGCCTTGTTGTCCATATTGCTAAGCAGTATGAAGGAAAGGGGCTCAACATTCAGGATCTACTGCAGGTTGCCTATGTAGTCTATTGTCAATTTATTTCATTTTTCTTATTTTGTAGCGGTAATTATTTTAGGTGTGGTATGCTTTAACTATACTATTTTTTACAAATAATGAGTTACTCTTCTGGTAGCATTTGTTCCTAAACAAAATCATCTGACCTTTTGGAACCCAGATTGAGCTCAGTGATCTCTAATTCTTGGAGTTTTCATTCATATAAGGGTCTATGTGGTTATGTGGTTACTTGTAGCATGAAAACAATAATTTGGTTTTTGCTCATTTGGTTATAGATTTGTAATTTATATTTTAGATGGTACTCTAAATAATATTTTATTTGTCATTGATGGGATGAGAAGAAAATCATGCGTTATTGTAGGAAGGAAGTATGGGACTAATGAAGAGTTTGGAGAAGTTCAAGCCTAAAATTGGATGCAGATTCTCAACCTATGCGTATTGGTGGATACGCCAATCAATCAGGAAAGCCATTTTCCAGCATTCTCGAACAATCCGCTTGCCAGTATGTTTTTTATTTTTGTTCCATAATCAATATTTCTCCCTCTCTCTGGAAACAACGCAGTGATCTCTTGTAAAGCTTTTTTTATTCAAGTCAATTCTATAACTGCCTCGTCTAATTTTCTGAGTTTTAGTTCCTGTTTTGTTATGATGGAGATTTTTCAAATTAGCTTCCTTTGTTGTTGAATACTGGGTTCCATTAACTTGAGAATCCTTTTAAGTGAATCTCCATATCTTTTATTCTCATTGAAGAGGTTAGAGAGATCGAGAGAATAGATGAGGAGTTAAAATCCAAAATTATAATCCTTCATTTGTTGCTTTTTCTATGGAAGGCTTGGCTGAGGAATTAACCAATGTTTTTTTTCATATATCAGCTCATTTGGAAGCAAGATTCATCATAGTATTCATGATCCACTCTTTCAAAATATAATTGCAGGAAAATGTGTTTGCAGAACTGAAAATAATTAAAGATGCGAGGAGAATTTGCTTACAGGAAGGTCTGACTCCTACAAATGAAGAAGTGGCTAAACGAGCTGGCATGCATGTTGGCAAGTTAGTGAACTTGTTGAAGATATCGAGAAATCCCATTTCAATCCAAGGCCATACTTGGATTGACCAGGACATAACTTTTCAGGTGTGCTTCTTTATTTGATCCAACCTTCTGGAGTTGAAAATCTCTATGAGCAAAGCTAACTTGCATAGTGTATGCTCCATGTTTCTAGAAAATATCCGCATATCAACATTTCTCCATGGGAGATCGAAAGGCGAGGAAATGGGAGTGTTGCTAGAAGCATGGAATTTCATGAATGATTTATATTTTGGATACAAGATTATTTTAAGCAGAAAGTAATGGTATTATATAAATACACTTGAAGTTTCTGATGAAATTAAAAAAAAACTTTAATTTTGAAGAGTTCAACCTTACCATACTTAAATTTCTTAAAAATTTTCCCACATAAGGATCTAACATCCTTATTAGTGGCCTTTATTTAGAATCATTCACCATATATAAATGATTCTAGAGGTTACCTTCATAGTTTCAAGAATGGCTCCTAAAGTATAGTAATTTGTCTCAAATGGGTTCAAGAGATAGCTTCCATCACATAATATATTGTCTCATATGACACTTAGTTCCTATCTTCTGGTTAGTGCGTTGCTATGATATCATATGTAATAGCTTGAACTCTTAACCAATGACGTAATGCTTGCTTTGGTCTAACATTCCTCATATTTTTATTCTCATAGTGTAATTTTCTAGAAGATCATTTAATATAGGAGGGCTCCAACACGAGTACAATCAACTTTGAAGTTCTTGATGAAACTTTGACCAATATACCAAAATACACATTAATGTATATGAGTAACTTTTCAAGGCGTCTCACCTGAATCTTACATAATATATTTTGTTATCTTTAATTATCTTCATAATTTTTCATCTTTTATTTGGTCATGTAATTATGAAGATCTTTGACTTAAACCCTGAAACTGAAAATCTGACAAGAAATTTGGATTTATAAACTACCCAACATATACTTTTTTGACTTTACTTGGCTCATTTGATTCGACCTTTTATGGGCACAATGACTTGAACTGGTCGAATGTGATGGGGACATCAGAACGTGGAAAGTCTATCAGAGACGTGGTTATAGATCTACGACCACGATTGAGTCATTGTATTTTTGAGTTGTATTATTTATTTTCTATATTATTATGTCATATTGTATTTGCTTTATTAGTTTTCCGTTTTTACCCCTTATTCAAGGGAGGTCGCATGTAAGCCCAGTGGGCGTTGTCGTCTTTATTTTCTTAAGTCTTTATACAAGGCTATATATAGCCCCATTATTCTCTTTTGACGTTTGTTGCGTGCTAGAATATACGCGGCGGTAGAGTTTATAAATTCGCGTCCGAGCGTTGTACGAGTATTCAGCACACAAACAGAAAAGAGAATACGAACACCAAGGTTTTTACGTGGAAAACCCAAAAAGGGAAAAAACCACGGGGCATTGCCCAGTTGAAAAATTCCACTAGTGTTTTGCAAATTACAAATGGCTGATTCGTCCCACAACTTGGGGCAATCAGATTACAATTCGTTTCTTCAAGCAAGTTTACAAAGTTCTGCAAATTCCCGGCGTTTCCCGAAATCCGGCAGAGTTCCGGCGTCTTCTGGCAGCGGGAAGAGCTCCGGCGGTGGTCGAGGAGGAGCTTCTTCCTTCTCCTCCTCTTCTTCTTCTCTCTCTTCCCTTGAGTCCCCTTTGTGTAGAATGAGGGCTCTATTTATAGTTTTTCTGGAGTGGCAAAGCCCATAAATAGACGTGAGATCATGGGCGAATTTGGGAGTGGTTTGAATGGACGGCCGATATCGAATCCTTTGATCATGCACCGTTCGTTGGACATTTGAAGGCCTTAATGATGTCGGAATTCGGCGATCTTGGGCTCGTTGGATTCGTCTCGTCGAGCCGCTCGATTCGAGTATAAGCTCGTTAAAATCGGAGACCGTTTGGTAACTCAAATTGCGGTGTGAACCTTCCAACAGTGCTTCGGGTCCTTGATTCGGACTCATTTGGGCTCGGATTGGGTTGATCTTGGTGACGTTGGGTTCGTATTTCCGAGACGCTCAGTTTGACTATAAGCTCGCTGAAATCGAAGTTCGGGTGCTCCCGGAATTAATTTTTGAAGTTTCCAACTAGCTTTTGCCTCGAGATTCGTGCCCGATCAAGCTAATTTTGTGATGCCGTATCAACGTTAATGAATGATTGAAAGAAAATTTGCCACAAATCTTTTGAGTTCTCTTAAGAGCTTGAGAAATCGGAGAGAGATCCCTAGGAGAGGGAAGATTACGCATCACCCACCAACCTTGACGAGTCGGGTTCGTGGTTCTATTTCCTATCTCTTCCCTTCATTCTACCACCACCACCGGCCCTCTTCACCTCAACCGACCACGTTTACACCCAAGACCTCCTCCTTCACCAAGCCCCTTTCCCTTACCCACCGAGATCCGCATACACCCCATCTAACCGCCGGCCTCCATACCCGAACCAAGCATGCCGTCCGCCCCTAGATCCTCTTTTCTCCTTTGATTCCCATTGCTTATTTTAGATTGATATAATTTGGGTAGGTTTTAAATTCAAATTCATCCAATTTGAAATTTAAAATCTTTTCTAAATTACTAAATCTATTTTAGAAAAATTTTTAAATGCGTGCTTATTTGAATTTAAATTAAATTGGGATGATATCTTTCTTCCCTAATTAATCCACCAATTTAAGGAAACATTAAAGGCTTCCTAATTTTCTTCCCCTAGCCCCGAAGCCGCCGCCTCCCCCCCCCCATTTCCTTTTGGATTTGTTTCCTAAATCCAACACCCCTCTTTGAGAATTAATTCAAATAGCCCCTCCCCCTTGGCCGAAATCCCCTAAGCCCCACACCTCATTATTTTCTTTCCTAAAGCAAGTATTGAGATTTGGAAACAAATCCTCCTAGCTCCTCATCCCGCCGCCTCTACCTCTCTCCCTATCCTCTTAATTAATTCCATGCATGAGGATTAATTAGAGGATTGATTGGCACCTCTTCCCTCCACTCCAATTTTCCAAAACCTGAAGTTAGTTTTCCCAAGCTTCTTCCTTGTGGCCGACCACTCTACTCCACCTTCCACCACCTAAATTCTTGAGGGAAATCTGCTTGGACAGCAAATAACACTTCCGTCAATACCTCGATGCGACAAGATTGATGCATGGCTGGTCTAGATCTTGATTACGATCTCGCCTACGACAAACAAGGGTTTGCTTGCACCTGCACTCGACCTTTTTCAATGTCAACCCTCGCATCGACAATACCGTCGAGGAATACGTGGAGCGCATTCTAGACACTCTCGTCTAAGCCATAGAGGAGCAACTTCGTACCGTATAGTGGAATATTACATCCGAGCCTTGACGAAGGTCTTCCAATCTTCCTCCTCTTGTATTTCCTTAGTCTAACAGTCTCTCTTGTGATTTGATTTAATTCATGAAGATCGTGTTCGCCTAACTCTACCGAGCTTAGTAAACGTAGGATTGAGTGCACTTTATTTGCTTCTAATCTTATTGTTAGATTAGGGATCTTTGTTGAAAGCTATTATATTTGCATGTCGTTGATGTTTTTTGCTATTTTGATAATTCAAAGCTCTTATTGTGCAACTTAGCCTAAACGAAAGTGACCGCTCTTACATTTTATGTTGTCGTTTTTATTTGCTAATAGTTTTAATCATTATTACTCTAATCAATAAGTCGTGCAAGTTTTTATCAAATTACTTTAAGCATTGTAGTCCTACATCATATTACTTCCTCTCCATTAGGTGGAACATTTTGTGGAATGATTGTCATACTTTATCATGTGCAAAAATCTTGCTGAGTATTTTTTTTTTGTCTTTTAGTTAGTCTTGGCCACTCTTGAAACCTTCTATCTCTTGAGGTAAGGTCTCTCTCCCTTTACAACAAATATTTATTTTTATTTTTATTTTTGCTAGACCTTTTGACATGTCTTCAACCTTTCCTCTAATGAGAAATATCTCTTTTTTGATCTGCACATTCCTTCCTCAAACATTCTCTTCCTCACTTTCTCACGACCTTTTAAATCTGTTAGTTTCTTGTTTTTCTTCGCAACTGCATCATAATTCTTCTTTGGACCGTGCCTCTTGTAGTGCCTATTGAGATACACACGGGTTTAGAACATAGTCCCACATATTGAAGATAGAAGTTGAGTTCCTAATAAATTAGTAATGAATCTTACCCATTAACTTTGCTAGAAGTATTTTTTTACAGAAATATTTAAAGCTAAGAGAAATTGCACCTAAATTATGATGTCATCGTTCACATTACCGGTTTTAACCTGAATGATTGAACCACAAACCAGTTGCCAAGCCATCGATGGCTGTTCCAGTTTTAAAGACATTGCTTCCACCCTCCTAACAGTGAGTGACTCCAATATGGTGGTGTTGGAAGAGGTTCCAAGAACATATATTTTTCTCCTTTCTAATTGTATTTGAGTTCATCAGCTTTTTTATGTGTTTTCTTCTTTCATGCTGCAAAACAAACTTTGAAATACTTCTCTACCAACCACCATTGCCCTAACTCCTTCCATTAAGGTTTCGTTCGCGACGACTTCTTTATTGCTTCTGAAAATGTTGTACTAAAATGTTACGGTTCTGGCCGAACCGTATGAACCGAACCAGGTGGGGTCGGTTCATACCTATAGGAGGTGGGCTAAGCCATCTCCTTTGATGGCTGCCCAATCACATGGGCCCCCCCTAGGGCGGCAAGGAGAGAGAGGGAAGTGGCATAAAGAAACTATTTTAATGTTTGTTTTTGGAAAATTTTTATTAGCTTTTTTTAAGAAGATATGTATTAAAAGAGAAGAGGCTAGGGTTAGGGCATGCATGATTTGAGTTATTATCTTGGAGTTCTCTTAGGGTTTGGGCTCTAGATTCAACATCTAGAGATTGTGAGAGAACAATCATCCTCTCGAATTGAGGATCAATTCTATCTTTGTTTCGTTCTTATTTTGCTTTGATTTCTATAAGACTATTTATCATTTGATTGTTTTTCCACCACATTTTCATCCGTTTTCTCGCTGTTTTACCGACTATTGTTAGGTTTGCTTGCGAACTCAAGTATTTCCCATTAGGGTTACTTGCGAACTCAAGTATTTCTTATCATAAAACTCCGTTTTAAGAAACAATAAAAAAGCCGTTCCAAACCAAGCTTAAATCATTTGCTCAAACATTTTTGCGAAAAAAGAAAAATTAACCTTATCAGATTCTGATTGATGCTACCAGGAGATTACCGCAGACCCAGAGATCGAAATACCGAAGATCGTCATTGAGAAGCAAATGATGAGACAGCATGTACACAGCCTTCTTGGAGTTCTCAGCCCCAGGGAGAGGAAGTTAATAAGGCTCAGATTTGGCATCCAGTACAGTGAACCAAAATCACTTCAACAAATAGGTGACATGTTTGGGATATCTAAAGAGAGGGTCAGGCAACTGGAAAGTCAGGCTCTGAAAAAATTGAGAGCATGTAGCTCAAGCCAGGGGCTTGGGGCATACGCAGAATTGTTAAGTTAAGTGACTCTTGTATACTGTCATTACTTCATGCTCTTCAACTTGTTTTACTTGCTTACTTCTGATGAACTGTGTAATTGAATGTATATACTATATCCTTACATTTTACTGTTATCTGAATTGGAGAGTTGCTACTTTTATCCTTTTCGGTAGATCTATGAAACTTGGGCACTTAAAACCATTGGCGATTTGGCTATTGGTGGAAGTTGCTACTTTTATCTGTTCTTGAGGAAGTTGATAGGAAATACATGAGTTTGCAATGTAACCCTAAGGGTAATACTTGAGTTCGCAAGCAAACCTATCACCAACTGGTGAAAAACAGCGAGAATAACGCAAAATCTGGGTGAAATCAGCCCCAAAACGATAGATTGTGGTAAGAAAATCAAAGCCAAACAAGCACGAAAATAAGATACAATAGATCCTCAATTCGAGAGGAGGATCGTCTCTCTCAAATCTCTAGATAAGATAGTTTAGAGCCCAAGTCGCCAAAGAACCCCAATAGAAATCAAATCAAGCATACCTAACCCTAAAACATCTCATGCTACTTAATACATAAACTTTTCTAATCAAATTTCCTTCCCAAGCCATAGCCGCCCCCTCCTTTTCAAATTTGAACTTAATTGGAGTAATGGGATCCACTATAATTAGGGGAGTCCGCCTTACTCGAAATGGCCCTGGACGAGTTTGTTGGGCTGGTTCAGGAGGAATTGGCCTATCAGAAGGTAGAAGAGAGCCAAAACTTTGGCTAAAATATGGCCTTTAAATATGGTTCTAAAGGTAAAAAATATGGAAGAAATGAATACATCCTAGCAACAACAACACAAAAAAAAATAAAAATCTGAATATCATACCAGATTTTAATTTGAAAAACTGCTAAATACAATATGTTAAATCTCAAGGAATCAGCCAATAGAGAACCCTCAGCCTGTTGTCTTATATAGTTATACTACAACTGCCATCCAAGGAAGCTTGCCAGCAGCTGCTACATAACAATTCTTGTCATTCAGGGAAGCCCACCAGCAAGCACGAGAGATTATTGGGTTCGAACATCGGATACAGCTTACATTTGGTACTTCACAGTATCGAGTAGTACTGAGCAGTACCGAGTTCAGTACTTCATAATACCGAGCAATAATGAGCTCGGTACTACTCGGTACTAAGCAGTACCAAGCTCGGTACTGAAAAGGGGGTGATGACGCATTTTCATTGGGCCAACTAGCACTGAGGTTAGATTTCTAAGATTGTAGGAGTCTAATGCAATTTGTTCCTTCTTTATTTCTCGGGAAAAATGATACTTCAAACACTCCTCCAGTTGATTTATAAATATTAGATAAATTAAAGTTTCATTTAAGATAGCTTTAGATCATTACTTATTTCCTGCTTTAAAGAGATTTTTTTTAACCTAAAATCAACTTTAAAAAGCAGCAATAAAGTGGTCCCAAATGAAATCTAAGTCTGTCAATCATTTTATTTTTCTAGTAAGGATCTATTCATTTTTTTTAATGTAAGCCTATTTGGGGAAGAGCATATATAAAATACATAGGTCTCCATTTAAATTTTTTTTTAATAAATAAAATATAAATCTATCTCCCATGCATAACTGTCGGATATACTATCATAGGGTTTTTGGGTTTGGGTGAATGATATCCGCCAGTGCTCCATGAGAACTGTCGGATACTATCATAGGGTTTTTGGGTTCGGGTGAATGATATCCGACAGTGCTCCATGAGAACTGTCGGATACAATGGATTGGTAAGGAGGAAGAATGCATCTTATCGTGATCTTTGTTTGACCCGATTAGATTCTCTTATAATTGTCGATCAAAGCCCTAAATTGTCTCGAATACCATATTAGAAAAAATACCTAGAAGAGAAAAAAAGTGAGCTAAAATTTTGAAAAAGTTGATCACCCACTTTGCCCAAAACCAACTCTATATATAATGGGTTGCAAAAGTGAAAATGGTGAAGAACTAAGCTCATCCTAATAAAAGAAATTATGAATATTACAATACATTTTAATTTGAAAAACTATTAAAAACAATACATAGAATCCCATTAAAATACAGTGGCAATATTATCTTATCACCACCCAAACAAGCATTGAATTTGTAATTTTAACAATTTGCCGACGAAGACAAGAACCACCAGAACGATATCAAGTGAATTTTTTTCTCAATCGTGTTCTATTAAGAGTCAAATTCTCATTTAAATATAATAAAAAAGGGATCATTTCTAAGGCTTCGTTTAGGACAGCTTTTTTAGTTCTTACTGCTTCTTAAAGTAGCTTTTTAATAAAAATATAAAAAATTTTGTAATAAAAAGCTGCTTTAAGAAGCAGTAAGAAAGTCGTATCAAACAAAACTTAAGTCTTTCTAATAAAATATTTTTTGGGTCTACCTCTATCTTTTTAAATATAGATTAGATCTAATATATTTACTCTCCTAATAGAGTCATCGGAAGACGAATGTTCCATAACAATTTGAACTATTAATATAGAAAATCTAGCAGCAACTTAACAAATCAATTGCCTGTTTTTATATTATTTTTATTTTGAAATAAATATTATTTTTAAATTAGTTGACCTCTATCTCAAAGAAAATAAATAAATAAAAGGCAAGTCAATTACAGAATGATATGATCATGCTTATGAAAGTCAACTCATGAATCTATTTGATTAAGGAAAAATAACAGGTTTGCTTTTTGAGGTTATCTGCAAATAAAAGGATTTAGGGTATGGAGAATGGCAAGAATTTTTATTCTAATTTATCATCCATTGTATTCTTATCGTCAGGCCTCTTCATGATAATGATATGTCTCGTTATTGAGATTGACAATGGGCGAATTGTAGGAGAAATTATTCTGTACAGAGATCAGATACAGAACGTCGTCCGAAGACCAACCAGAATACGCTAAGTCAACGGTATCGAGCCGCGGTACTAATCAGTACCGAGCAAGGGATGATGTGATGTATTATGATTGATTTACGGATGACGTTCAACTTCTGCACAGAATAATTAATCGAACATTTTAATTTTTATTGTAGAGGGGGTTGGTTCATGTTGGTTATATGAAATCCGACATGACGAGCAGTTATTACAAATGGATAATCAAATAGATATGAACAACAATTAGATTAGAGTATACAATCAAGGTTTTATTTGAGACAGTTATTTCATGATTTTTATAATAATTTTATAGTATAAAATTTTTTAATTAAAATTTTATTTTAAAAAGCATTAAAAAAGCTATCCTGAACAAAATCTCAATTTGATTGATTATCTATACCTATATTCACCATGCCTAATAATTTCTTCAAGGAATGTGATGGATGCACCAAGGAACAATTATGAAGTCCTCTGACCGGACGTAGAGATACGTTCGGCCGCCAATAACATGTTGCCACGTGCTCAACATAGAGCTACGTCCTATGACCGGACCAAATAAAAGTTCGTCACCAAGGGCAACATCTACGAGATTTTTTTTTCACAGAGCACATATGATGAAAAGTAAATTCAGTTTATTTTTTTGGATGCATTCTGCATTAAATAATTAATTTATTTTTATTTTATTTTACATAAAATACTTAAAAAAATAAAAAAAAAAAAATAAAAAACTTTTTTTTTTAATTTACATTTTTGATACTTTCAATCAACAAACGCAAAGTAGTTTTTTTTATTACATGGGGGTATAATACTCTTAATAAATAATTGTAAAAATTTAATTAAAGAAATAATGAAAAATAAACTCACTTGATGTTTACATGTTTATTCATATATAATTTAAAAACTAAATCTATAGTAATTTTTATATAATATTTATTTTTATATATATTATCTTTTTTCCTTCATCCTTCTCTCCATCAGTCTACTTATTTTTTGAAAGAATAATCAAATATCTCCAAATAAAAAACAGATTAAGAGAAATTATGGTATCGGTGGGCTGATTTGTAAAGCCATTAAAATAAAGTATGGATCTAAGAAAGAAATAAAAAGGTTATATTTGAAATGACCAATAGTTAATAACATTTAAATTTTGAAATTAGGTAGAAGGAAATAAATAATTCAAATAAGTAAAAATCAGCTCAAATATCTTAAATGAATTTCTCCAAAAAATAAATTGGCTAAGGAAGAAAATAATGGTTCACGAATATTAAGAAAACAGGCAAGGAAACTAGTTGAACTGTTTAAGTACTACATTTACTGAGAAATAATTTCACCAAAGAAAGGCAAAAAATGAAAGAAGAAAAAAAATCAAATAAAATAAAGTTTCAATGATTTTAATTTAGGAAATAACGATACATATAGCACTAGACTTGGAGAAATTAATCTGTGCAGAGTACGGACGAGAAGAACCATTCGGATATGTGAGTGTACACAATATGTATCAAATTAGCGTCCATACTGTGTTTACACTCATAATCCGAACGGTTCTTCTCGTCCGGACTCCGCACAGAATAATTTCTCCTAGACTTGAGAGTTGAGATCAACGCAAGTTGTTTATAATTTTGGAGATTGCGGAGTAGGTGCCCAATGCTGAGGAGGAAACTCCTATTATAAGAATCAAGGAACACATAGCCACCTACAAATAGATAAGACAATCATTCGTTGATATGTTAAAAAAAGTTAATTAGAACTCTCACTTTTAACCTTTACAAGAAATTCAATAGATATCTAAGAAAACCTTCAAATGTTAATTCTAAAAATATTAATATGCATAAAATTTTCTATAATCTTTTATTCTAGAAGCATACTTCTTAAACAATTTAACTAATATTTTAGCACTCATTATGTAAGACTTTGTTTGAGATAAATTTTTTTTGTATCAAAAAGTTATTGTAGAAAAAATATTTTTTTAAAACAGTTATAGAAAGCAATATTTTAGTACAACTTTTTTTTTTTTTTAAATAAGCAAAAAAGTAATGACCTGGTAAAAATTATAGCGGCGATCTAAAAAAACAAAACATTAAGAAAACTATTTCAAACGAAGTCTAAGAGCATCTCCAACTGAAAAACTCATTTTCCACTCCAAAATGCAGCAAAATTTTAAAATGTAGTAATTCATCTCCAATCGAACGACATTTTCTCTCCTTTCGCGTGCTTCCTGCGAAGGTAAATATTCTCTCATCTTTCCCGCTATTCTTCGGCAAGTCCTGTAGCCAATTTTTCGGCATAAGTGAATAGTCCGACATCAATATTGGCGTCGCACTGTTCACCTGCCGAACTTTGAACTTTGACATGAAATTTGGAGTTCGAATTGACCGAATGGCCGACTGTATATGATGGTATACAGTTCGGTTGAATATGAACTCAGCCGTTCTTTTAAAGATGGCTTCAAAATTTCAAACGAAAATGAAATGAAATCATCAAAATTTATCGATTTTGGTCTAAGGCATCTTAAATTGGTCATAGTTTTCGGTTTTCGTGATTTTAAACTATGAAAAAACACAAAATCCAACTAAACAATTAACTGAAGCCACGAAAATCAACAAAAAGCAGCTGAAATAACAAAAAAAAACCATTGAAACCACTAAAAATAGATAAGCATTCATAAAAAAATATTAGAAAAATTTTTCTGATATTTTATTCTTAAATTAAAAACGGCGGCGAAACTTCAGTGATGGGAGAGAAAACTTAGACTTTATTTGAGACGACTTCAAAAAAAATAAATTTTATATTAAAAAGATGCTCCAAAAAGCACTAAAAAAGCTGTACCAAACAAAACGCGAAGAAGTTCTGAACCTTGCTTTTAAGTTTTAAACATACCTGAGGCCAAGTTGCTTTACTCCTCACAATGCTTAAAAAGCAGACGCAAGGAAGAATAAATGCCTGCAACAATGTACATATATATAGTTATTAGAATCAAATTGTTTGATAACTGACCAACAACAAACCCCAAAAGAAACTTACTAAAAGCATGGTAAGCAAAGAACCAATCAATGCCATCACCAAACCTGAAGATAAATGAGATTTTTAGGGCGCGCGCAAAAATAAATACTACTTATTGACTTGAAACAAAAGTAAATGCACTTACCAAAGAAAGGGACGGACATAGCCACCACCAAGGATGAGATCGTCAAAGCTGTTCTCATGATGATTGCATACCAATGCGATTCCAGACGCTCTGTGGGTATCAACTCCTCCAGACTCAGCGCCATCGGAGCCAAAGTTATTGAGTATGTAAACAGTTAATTAAGGAACAAAACTTTGAAGATTTTAAATGAAGAGACTATTAAATTTCGTATTATAGAAGAAACCAGAGATTTCTTTTGGAAAAGAATTTAAGAAGATAATGGAGAAAATAATAAATATAACTAGGACAAGGATATTTTGTAATAGGGTTCACAACCTGCAAGATAAAATAAAATAAAAAAGAATATTTAACATTCACAATGATAAGGAAACAATTCATTTTCATAAACACTCGTGTGCAAATAAATTTTCTGTGAAGGGGCAGTGTCTAGTTTAGCATATGTTGGTGTTAAAATAGATATAGTCGAAATTTACCCATAGATTTAATGTTTTGGATTTAATTCATACTTTCTAGAACTTTCGAGTTTTTTTACTAATGATGGAATTTGGAGATGTGGTTCCCATCAAGGGAGTAAATGAAATGCTTTTAAATATAGCAAGGAAATCTATTATTCATTCTATATGTATATTGAAATACAGGCCATTCAAACCTATATGGTATGTCTGAGATAAGAAAGGGTAGGAAAAATAAAATTTTACTTCATTCTTAACAGATTTAAACAAACAAGGTCAACTTCTTAAATTTTCTGTGTAAAAGATTTCAGTTAACTGAATTCAAGAATTTAGATTCTTTGTGAAATAGTTAATGTTATAATCATAATTGGAAAGACTACAAAATTAGCAATATTGTACTTACCGTTGTCCAAACAGCAATTTTAGAGGCCATAAATTCATGTGGCACATTCAGAGTAAACTGAGACTGAGTGGACTCCCCAAACAGGGCAAATCCCATTACTGCAACCCCAGCAAACAACAGAGCGGAAATGACAAAGCTGCAAGGTAATTAATTGGTTTAATCAAAATATCCGATGTAAAACTTAAAATGATCTTAAATAATGAAATGCCGAGTTGAAAGTGATATCTCCTTTCTTTTCCCACAGAAAAATGGATGCTATTTAACTAGCTAGTTTGCAGATAAATGGGTCCACTCAAATTATTTGCAGTCATGAAATGAAAAAGAAGATAATGCCAATTTAATGAGTATCAAATCTTCTAAATAAAATTATACTAGACACTTACCTTGTGAAAAGAACGGCAGGAAATTCATTCTTATTCTTCAAAGAGGAGTATATATTTGGGAAAACAGCATGGCCGGAGTAGGAATAGCCGTAGAGGCCAATCGCTATAGAAATCCCAGAAAGATTTATGAGAGAACCTTCATTTTTATAACCAATATTATCAACTAATCCCACCCAGAACAGGCATACAACCACAAGTACAGATGCAATAACTCCTCCAGCTGCCAATGAGCAAAGTTAATGAAAGGTTATCACATAAAGAGTGCAAAAGAAGGAAGGTGAAATTGAAAAGAACATCTCATGTATGCGTTTCAGAAAAGCGGCAGATTTAATTTTTTACTAGTATGAATATGGAACCTATGGACTGTAAGAACCAGTTCAGCCGGGCCCTATCTAATACCCAATCGAACGAAGCAGGTGATTGAGCAGCGAACCGAGCGGGCCGAACGCGGGCGCAAAAGAGTTTGGCGAGGTCAGATCGCGTAATCAAGGGAGGAATGGCGTGCAAGAGTGAAAGGAAGCAACTCCTCATGAGAAATAACTCCGTTTTAATAACTCCAGTGGAATCAAATGAACAAACAAAGGCTTCAGCCTAAAGGAAGAAGAAAAAGGAAGGCAAAAGAGAAAGAGGAAGGAAAGGAGAGCGAGCAAAACGAACAATGTGGGAAAGAGGAGAAATAGTAAAGTATCTCAATACCTAAGTTCAGGTGAGTACTAATGTTTTTCAATTATAGTAAGGTGTGGAAATGCTTGGGAGATGAAGAAATTTTTTGGCTTATTAAACTTTTTAATACTATTTTGAAGACTAAAAAGATGTCAGATGAGTATGTTAATTCATATTTTTAAGAATAAAGGTGATGCACAAGATTGTGCGAATTATAGAGGAATTAAGTTAATGTACATACTTCAAAACTATGGAGCGAGTTATTGAGCATAGGTTGCGGCGTAATACTAATGTTTCTCAAAATCAATTTGGATTCATGCCGGGTAGGTCGACTATGGAAGTCATACATTTATTAAGAGGTTTGATAATACAGAGAAAATAAGGAGGATCTACATATGATATTTATTGATTTAGAAAAAGCATATGATAAAGTTCCAAGGGAAGTGCTATGGAGAGTTCTTGAGTACACGTTTTAGATATCTTGGATCTATTATTCAGAGTGATGGTGAAATAGATGAGGATATTATCAGCAGAATTCAAATTGGATGGTTGAAGTGGAGGAATGCACCGGGCTTGTTATGTGATAAAAAAGTACCCCTCAAACTTAAGGGAAAATTCTATAAGATGATAGTGAGGCCTGCAATGCTTTATGGTGCTGAATGTTGGCCATTAAAAGAGAAGCATAATACTAAGTTAAGTGTGGTAGAGATGAGGATGCTCAAGTGGATGAGTGGCTTGACCCTTAGAGATAGGATACGAAACGAGCATATACATGAAAAGGTTGGAGTAGCTCCTGTGGATGATAAGATTAGAGAGAGTCGTCTTAGATGGTTTGGTCACATAAAATGGCGACCTTCCAATGACACAATTAGGAGAGTAGAGGTATTATATTTGACTTATGTTAAGAAAGGTTGAGGCAGACCTAAAAAGACTTGGTTAGAAAATATTAAAGAATGACCTTTCTTTATTAGATTTAAATGAGAATTTAACCTTTAATAGGATACAATGGAGAAAAATAATTCTTGTAGCCGACCCCACATAGTGGGATAAAGGCTTGATGTTGTTGTTGTAATGATTTTATTCTCTCTTAAATTAAATGCATCGAAAGATAGTGATCTATACTTATTAAGTTTCATTGCAAGCTATATTATATTTGTATGAATAAAATTGTTAAGATATATATGTTTGCATGCTCATGTTGACTGATGGAGTACACCCTCTTATAGTACTGGCTGGGGACGTAATGTATACGTGCACGTAAATAAAAAATGTTAAGGAAAAAAGAAAAATGAGTACCTTCATTGGAACTATTTTAGACGATAGCTCTTGTGTCAATTATATTATTTATGCGAAAGAATAAAGATATGATATACACATAACTTGGAAAGTCTTGAAATAAAATGGTTAAATAAAATTTTTTTATGTTTTGAAATGATCATGCATATTGTTACTAATGCATTGAATTACTGTAATTTAATAGCGTAAATTACTCATTGAGTTCTTTTATGGCTCACTCCTAAATTTATAAATGAACAGGTATTATTCAAAGCTTAAAATGAGTAGAAGATATAAAAAATGTGTATGGCAGACGAGACACTACGAGTGACTTATATTTGGTGATAGCTTTAGTAAGTAAAAAATTAATCAACCTGACCGTCTGTTCCCGTCTTGTTAATTCGAACCTCCGGACAGGATTGTGACAAAAGTGGTATCAGAGCGCTAGGTTAGTATCATAGGAATATGAATTGTCATAAAAGAGCCATAAGAATAATTTATGAAATTAAGAATTTAGAGATTCAATTAGATAGTATAATTAATTATGTCTTATATAAATATATAAGGTATGTGGATGATCAAGAGGAGGTAACTGATAAAAATAAAGCAGGAGAAGAAGTACCACCTGATATGACTGTGAACACCCAATACCTTTACCCATATGTTGAAGGCTATGACCCAACTGCTTCAAGAATCAAGATCGCAGCCTAGAGTTGGAGTATATAAGTATCTGAAGTTATTCTAGTACATGCGAACACCACTATTCAAAGGAAATGAGGGACCAATTAAGACAGAGAATTGGTTGCTTCGGGTAGAGAAGATCTTGGATAGCATGTCATGTCCTGATGAAAGGAAAGTGCCACTCGCTACATTTGTTTTGGATTGAGAAGCAAAAAGGTGGTGGAGAGGACAATGTGAAGACATGTTAGAAGATATTTAAAATTTACTGGTGAACTAGGAAGACTTTGTGGAATTTTTTAGAGAATGGTTCGTGCCTATGTCAGCAAGGAGGCAAATGTGGGGCATATTTATAAGAATGGTTCAAGAAGACAAATCAGTGATGTAATATAAAGCATAATTTACAACCTTATCCAGATATGCATCGAAACTAATTGCAACAGCATAGGCAAAATATTATCGACCCCTATCTAGTCTAAAAGATACAATCATGCAACATTTAGTATATTTAGGAATCGAGGATTATACAATATTGATAGAGAGAACTAGAAGGGTGGAGATTGACTTTCAAATCGCTCAGAAGTGAAGAGATCAACATAAAAGGAAGAGAGTTGAAGAAGATATCCAAAACAATCAGATTGAAGGATCAAATGGAAAGAAGCCTAAGTTTAGCCCTAGTTGAGTTAGTAGTGCTGCTACGAGTGGAGTTATGGAAGCTTATGCTAAGTGTGGCAGATTTCATAAGGGTGAGTGTTTGGCGGGCTCCAACACTTGCTATTAGTGTCATCAGCCTAAAAAAATTACAAAATATTATCCTACATTGGTTCAAATGACTTCAGGAGAGATAAACTTAAGTGAAGCACCTTCACTGAAGAGTTTTGATAAACAAAAGATGATATAAATGTCAATTATAGCTCCAGCACAAACTCAACCAAGGCAGAATGTTCGACCAAACAGGAGCCTAATGAATCAATAGATGTTAATAAAGATGGATGAGATTTCTTTAATATAATAATTTGTTATATTATATCAGATATTTTTATTTATCCAATTATCTTATTATATTATATCAAAAATTTTGTTTTATTCAGTTATGCATCCAATGTTAAGTTTATGTTGAGTGAAGATGTTATTTTTACTTAAGTATTGAGTAGCATGCTTAATTAAAATTCATAGTAGTATATTATATAAAATAAAATAAAAGAAAAAAGTCATATGTAAATTTCAAGGATGAAATTTTTTATAAGGAGAGATTATAAGAACCGGTCCAAGTAGTTCAATTGAACTAACTTTATCTAATACCCAACCGATCAAAGCAGGCGATTGAGCGGCAAACCGAGCGGGCCAAACGGACCGTACGCGGGCACATAAGGGTTTGGCGAGGTCGGATCGCGTAATTGAGCAAGGAATCATGTGAGTGAGTAAGAGAAAGTGACTCCTCATGGGTAATAACTCTGATTTAATCACTCCAGTGAAATCAACGAAAAAACAAAAGCTTCAACCGGAAGGAAGAAGAAAAAGAAGGAATTACAGAGACAGAAAGGAGAGGGAGCAAGGGAGATTGAACGAGCAATAGGTAATATTTTTTCTTTTTATTAATATTATTAAGAAAATTAATAATTTAAAATAGAATTTATATATATATAATTTAATCGGAGTTTTAATAAAAGGATAATTATAAATTATTTTAAGTTGAAATTTATTATTAGAATTTAATTAATGAAAGACTGTATTAGATTTTAATATTAAATTTATGATATAAAGTAATTAAATTATAAATTTATTAAATAGAGGATATTAGAAATTAATTAAATAATGATTTTCAATATTTAAATAATAAAGTGGAGAGAGCAAGTTAATTCTTTTATTTAAAAAAAAAAGAACTATTTAAATATATTTAATAAAAAATTAGAGAGAAAATATAGGAGAGATTTCATTTAACTAAATTATTAATTTTAAACGAGAGTATATTTAATTAGTTAAAATGACAAATTATTAACTATGGAAAGTTTAGAAATTAATGATAATTAAATCATGATTTATATATAAATGATAATGCGAGGAAAATAAATTTTATTAGTAATTTAATAAATTAAATACAAGGGCTATCTAGATATATGTAATAAGGAATTATAGAGCATATAATTAAAAATATATGTGCAATTTATAATTAAACTGTTAACGAATAGGTTTTTCATATAGGTGCAAAATTAATTAACGTGAGAAAGAGGAGAAATAGAAAAGTATCTCAATACCTAAGTTCACGATGAGTACTCATGTCTTTTAATTAATAGTAATGATTTTGTTCTATCTTAAATTAAATGCATCAAAAGATAGTGATCTATGCTTATTAAGTTTTATTGCAAGCTAGATTATAATTTATTTTTCTCATATCCAACGATTGGTCATATTGAATGAAATCAAAAAATTAATATGTTATGATTTACACTTTTCATAGAAAGTAAATGAATGATATATAAATGAAATGGTTAAGATAGATATGCTTGTATGTGCATGTTGACTAATGGAGCACACCCTATTAAGGAACTAGCTGGGGACGCAATATACTCATGCACGTAAATGAAAAAAGGAAATGAAAAATGAGTACCTTCATTAGTACTATTTTAGACGGTGACTCGTTGTGACAGTTGTATTATTTATGAGAAAGAATAACGATATGGATAAATATATGATATATGCATAACATGGAAAGTCTTTAAATGAAATAATTAAATAAATTTTCTTGATGTTTTGAAATGATCATGCATATTGTTCTTAATGTCTTTAGTTATTGTAGTTTAAAAGTATGATTTACTCACTAAGTTCTTTTACGACTCAATTCTAAATTTATAAATGAACATGTATTATTTAAAACTTACAAAGAGTAGAATAGATAAAAATGTGTATCATAGGTGAGAAGCTCCGAGTGAAAGGTATTTATATCTTTTATTTTAAATAATTTTGAGGATTTAGTGGCACTTTTAATTTATTGATAATATATTTAGCAAATAAAAATTTAATCAACCATTCGAACGTCTATTCTTGTTTCGTTAATTCGAGCCTCCGGGCTGGATCGTGAGATAAATGTCAATAAATTTTATTTATTTATTTTAATTTGGCATAATATCATTTCATCTGTCTGAAGAATAGATTATGTAACTATTGACACTAACAAGTTTTATGAAGTGATTATGAGCATCAACCTTATGGCATAGTGAGGCATATAACTTGTAAGTCATAAATTTCCAGAAACATATTTATCACTTCCTAGAAAACCAAATATTAACTAAGAAGATTTCATTACTAAAATAAAAGATAAAGGATGGCGACAAACCTGATATGTAGCTAAGAATGCTAAGATCTCGAAGCCATGTGGTTGGGAGAACTATAAGAGTGATCAGCACAGCAAAAAGAAGGTGTGAATTTAGATGTATTCCACCTATGTTCAGGTGTGCATTTGGGAACAAGGAGGACAAGTTGTCACTATCCAATATGATGTACTCAACACAACAAGCCTGCGTTAACAGTTAGTGTTAGTTGAAATGACTTATTTTTGAAGTTTGAGGCCAGCAATATGTATCTGTAGTGTCTAAAACAAGCAGTCTACTCATTCTAAGCTTGTACTTACATACAGTTCCAGGTACAAGAAAATCTGCGCAAAATAGATGAAATAGAAAGAAAATTTTATTACCACAAAAATTCAGATTGCATAGCAGTGCAAGAATTAATGGACATAATGGTAGACTCACCGAGATAATAATGCGACCAGAAGGGCCAAATGCAGCCTGGCCAATGTCGGGGTATGTTTCGAGACCTGGTTTGCTATCCAGGCAACGACGCAGAAGAATCCCGGTGTAGAAGGAAATCACACCATAGATGAATAATATGGACAACCCAAGCCACCCTCCTTCCTTGATTGCATATGGTGCAGAGAGGATGCCAACTCCACAAAGCACGTTAACACCTGATCACATCATATTTTTTTCTGATTAAATTTATTTCATTTCGACAATAAGAAATCAAATTGTTGTAAAGAGAACCAAGTTCAAACTTTATTCTTCAAGTAAATAGTGGAGGATCCTATAGAGCAAACCTTCAACATAGTGAAGTCATTGATTTCCAGGAATTAGTTCCGAAATGCATTTTCATTGTACTAATCTAAAATGATTAGCTCGAAAGTATTTATTGACAAGAAAAAAAGAATGAACTTCATTGGAAATACCTTATACTGTTCAAGTTTCATCTACCATGATTTCTTTTTTGTAATGTCACAACTCACAACCCTAATCCAAACAACGACCTTGTTGAGTTTCTCCTGGCGCTATCTTGCCTTTAGAAGATTTAAAATAGGGTTATAAAGAGGACAAAGAAGATTTAAAATAGGGTCATGAAGGGAACCGGGGGGGGGGGGGGGGGGGGGCCGGGGGGAAGGGGGGGGGGGGGGGGGGGGGGGGGTTGGGCGCCGTGGAGAAGTGAAGGCAAAACTGTGACAACATTTGGTTTTTTTTTATAAGACATGGCTATATAGCATATTGATTGAAATCAAAGTCCATTTTCGTACATAGAATGTTTGCGTCATTTGAAGAAAATTTATTAAGTGCCATATTGGAGGTCAATTCAACGCAAAACGTCACCCAATGTAGAGTGAATTGAATGATATGGTACATTCGGATTGACCTTCATACGCTTTTGGACACCGCACAGAATAATCTCTCCCGCACAAAGAATTGTCCCGTGAGCAACTACTCACTGGCCATTTAAACAGACTATTTCATGACAAATGACTCAACTGGAGATCAAAATGGAGCATCAATCTCATTCTAAACAAGCGGCTATAAATATGAGTTCGGTTCTAGTTTTGTTTGCCAATCTCATGCCTCGTATGCATCTATCTCATTTAAGAATTGATATATCATCAAAAAATTATATTGGTCGGGCACAAATCTCGATGCAAATATAAATAAAAAATTTAAAAAATTAAATTTATGATCATCCAAACTCCGATTTCAATAAACTTATAGTCAAACTGAATGTCTCCAAGAGACGAACCCAACGATACCAAAATTGGTCCAATCCGAATCCAAATGGTTCTGAATTGAGGGTCAGAAGCCTAGTTGGAAGCTTCAGAACATTAATCATATGACCAAATGATATCCAAATATGACATTATATAGTTGAATCGAGTGGTTCAACGAGATGAATCAAACCAGCCTAAGATCGCAGAAATTTAACAATATTAAGACACTCAAATGCTCGCTAAATGATTTATGATCAAGCGAGTTGATATCAGCCGTCCATTGGAACACTCCTAACATATCCTTGATCTTCTCCCTATTTACTAGTATGTCACTCCAAAAAAATTATAAATAGACCCCTCATTCTTCACAATGAGAGAAGAGTAAGAGGAAAAGAGCTATGGGGCTTGAAGAATCTAAAGCTCCACCTTGGCACCACTGTCGATGGATCAGCGCCACCAAGCCACCACTGATGAACTTCTAATAGACCATTGTCGTCGATCCTCCACCTGGTAGTCACTGACAAGCCTTCCTCCTACCACTGTCATATATTAATTATGGTTCTTCCAACCAAAATTGCTTGTCAACTACGATCTCTCCGGCTACCGTTGTCCGATTATGGTCATTTCGACCACCATCGACCGCCAACTACTGTTCTTCCGACCACCGTCGCCCGACTACGATCCTTCCGATCACTGTCGCCCGCTTACTACAATATTTCCAACCACTATCACTCGACTACAATCCTTCTGACCTCTGTTGCCCACCAACTATGATCTCTCTGACCATCATCGCCCAACTACGGTCTCTTCGACCTTCGCCGCCTGACTACTGCTCTTCCGACCACCGTTATCCGATTACGGTCCTTCCGACCACCGTCGCTCACCGACTATGGTTCTTCCTACCACTTTGCCCTATCGACTACAGTCTTGTTGACCAAACAGACATGTCAACACTCTTTTAAGAACAACTACCATGTAATAAGCTATATACAGTGTATTTGCTATACTAAGATGGCACCCTCTTTTGAGGAGGAATATTATTTGTAATCAACCATCAATGCTAGTGGATTCATTCAAATTAGGCCAAGCCCCATGGCTTTTCCCCCTTTTCAGGTGTTTTCACGTAAAAACACTGGAGTCTCTTATGAATGTTATACCCCTATCTTTTATTTATTTGTGTGTTGAATTTTCATACAAAGCTAGAATGCTAAACTCCATATCTCTCTACAGTCGTGAATTCTCCAGGACGAAACAAGAATAATTAAAATGGATATGCCACATTTGCTGGTGATAACCTGCAAGGATGAATTTCAGAGCCGATCAACTCTTCCCTTAATATTATTTCATAATAACCACATTTTATAATTGTTTTAATGGATATGGCCGGATGGCTTTACATTGAGTTGGCATTAAGTGGATGCATTTGAACAAATAATTTTCTTGAAAGTTCTTTTAAAGAAAATGTCCTTTAGTGTATTGGCTCTACCTTGTATCATGATCTACATGGCAAATGAGCAAAATTAAAACAAACATCAGCCCAAGAATTCTACAATCTCTTTAAAGAACCATCAAAGTAGATTTCCCGTAGCTCTTTCTTCAAAGCTATTTTGAGTGGGGTTTTTTGGGCAAATATTGGAAAGGAGGTGCGGGCGTTACAATCTCAATCCCTCTTATAAGCTTTTCAATTGGCAAAGTTGATTGAAGAAAGAATTATAGAAGTTAATTTTTCTACATCATCGTCATAGTTTCCCATACCGATGAAAAATTGTTACCACTTTTGCTTCCTAATTCTATCAATCTGTTGGTGCCCAATGCTAGAATAACAAAAACTGATGTTACAGTGCAACCGTTAACAAAAACACAATTGGATGAAATATAATTGAAAGACTTTATAATGACCACACCTGTAAGTTCAACTTGTTTGTTAATGGTGATAAATGATGAGCAGGACCCCTTAAAAGAATTGCTAGTCTCATCCAAAGTTGATATGGGTCCATCTCAAGATCTTCATCTTGAAACCAATTTCAATATTTTAGTGCTCAGAACACTATAATTGGAAGTAAAAATAGATATTCAGATTATAATAGCAACTGCTCAACCCATAATTTCATTTAGAGCAGATTTGTTCAAAATCTTGGATTTACCATCATTCCATCAAAATTCTTTATGATAATCGTTGGAAATGAGGATAATCTTGAATGTTCAGAATTTTGTCAACATCTACCAGTAACCATTCAAGTATATTCTTTTGAAATAGATTGTTATGTCCAAAGTCCAAACCTATGTAATTGGCGGAGGTCATATTGGGGATATAATGGTTGGAATTGTTGGGTAGAATTGCTATTACAAGAATTTAATAATTGAGTTTACAGAAAAGAAACTTCTATCAAAATTTATAGTTGTTGCGTCCTGGAGTATTTGCGGCGGTAGAGAAATATATAGTTTAATGTCTTAACGTTGTACGAAGATCTAGCTCACAATCAGATAAGAGAGAGGGTGCAACGTTCATAAGAGACACTAGAGTTTTTACGTGGAAACCCCTGAAAAGGGGGAAAACCATGGGGATATAATGGTTGGAATTTTTACGTGGCCCAGTTTGAATGAATCCACTAGTATTTGCAGTCGATTACAAATGAGGCCCTTCCTTGGGAGAAGGCCTTGGCTTGATGGCACAAATGTACATCATATAGATCGCATTACATGGTGGGAGCAACAATATAGACATGTTTGTTTGGTCGGCACGACCATAGTCGATAGGATGGATGTCGGAAAGATCGTTGTCTGATGATGGAGGTCGGAAGGACCATAGCAGGTGATGGAGGTCGGAAGGACTATAGTAGGTGATGGAGGTCGGAAGGACCGTAGTCGGTAGGAGACAGGGGTCCGAAAGATCGTAGTTAGCAGGAGACTGTGGTCAGAAAGACCATTGTCTGATGATGAAGGTCGGAAGGACCTTAGTATGCAAGAGATCGATATCAAAAAGACAGTTGTCTGGCAATGTAGGTCAGAAAGACCGTAGTAGGCGACGGAGGCCAGAAGAACCATAGTCGGCAGGAGACAGGGGTCTAAAATATCGTAGTTGGCTGGAGACCGGGGTCAGAAAGGCTGTTGTCTGGTGATGGAGGTCAGAAGGATCATAGTAGGTGATGGAGGTCAGAAGAACCGTAGTCGGCAGGAGATAAGGGTCTAAAAGACCGTAGTTGGTTAGAGATTGGGTCAAAAAGACCGTTGTAGTAGGTCGATACTCTGGTAGAACTCTATGCATCAAGCGGTGGCCTGACAGAAGTTTGGGCCTCAGGTGATGGTCCGATAGAAGTCCAGGCTTCATGTGGTGTCCTGATGGAGCTTAGGGAATCAAGTGATGGTCCGACAGAGGTCCGGGCGTCAGGTGGTGGTCCAGCAGAAGTCCGAGCGTCACGTGGTTATCCGAGAGAAGTTTGGGCCTCAGGTGGTGGTCCGGCAGAACCCAGGTCCTTAAGTGGTGGTTCAGCAAAGCTCAATGATTAAAATTGCGTATACGGGTATTGAGGCGTTTTTCATTCGTGAGGCGAGGCGTAAGCCTCAAGGCATTTTGAGGCGTAAGCCTCAAAATCAAAAGATTGCGTAAACATAAAATGATAAATTTTTTATATCTAATGAGTGAATAATATAAAACATAAAAAAACATTAGATATTAAGTGAAATCAAAATATCCCAATAATAAGACAACATTAAATATAGTTCAACTCAAAATTTTATCTTTCCCAAATCCAGTATTCTTTTCATTAACATATAATTCAAATTTCCAAAAATAATTAAATAGCAATGACATATCACATAAGAACTCATAAGTCATTAGCATTGTCATCACTAAGGGGTTCTTCATGTGAATCATCATTATGATGAACTACTCTCTCGCCTTCCTCCTCTTTTATAGAGTCCAATGTCGGGCATTTACTTCAAGATGTATGTAAGTTTTAATATATATAGCGTGAGGCGTAAGCCTCATGCCAGTGAGGCGAGGCGGGCCTCAAGGTGGGCCTCAACCAAGTTGAGGCGTAAGCCTCATAAAAAAAACTCGAGGCGTAAGCATCGAGGCATTTTTTATTGGAATTGCGCAAAGGCGGGCCTCAAGGCGAGCCTCATATTCGCCATAGGGTCTCAAGTGGTGGTCCGACGGAGCAACGACGTCAGGTGATGGTTTTCGATAGCGGTGGTACGATGGAGGTAAGGGTCTCAAGTGGTGGTCCGGCGGAGCTCATGGCCTCAAGTGGTGGTCCGATGGAGCAACGACATGCGGCGGTGGTCCGACGGAGGTGAGGGCCTCAAATGGTGGTCTGGCGGAGCTCACGGCCTCAAGTGGTGGTCCGGTAGAGCAACAACGTCTGGCGGAGGTGAGGGCCTCCAGTGGTGGTCCGGCGAGGGTGAGCGCCTCAAGTGGTGGTCCGGCGGAGCAACAACATCAGGATGTGATATGGCGGAACTCAGGCGGTGGTCGAGGAGGAGCTTCTTCCTTCTCTTATCTTCTTCTCTTTTTGCTTGGAGCCCCCACCCCCCCCCCCCCCCCCCCCCCCCCCCTCTTTCAAGAGAAAGGAGGGGTCTATTTATAAATTTATGGAGTGGCATGGCCCGTAAATAGGAGAAGGTCAAGGGCAAATGGGGAGTGGTTGGATGGACGGCTGATGTTGAACCCCTTGATTGTGGACCGTTTGATGGACATTTGAATGCCTTAACGATGCCAGAATTAAGTGATCATGGGCTCGTTGGATTCGTCTCGTCGAGCCGCTCGATTCGACTATAAGCACATCATGTTTGGAAACCGTTTGGTAATCCAAATTGTGGTTTGAACCCTCCAACAGCACTTCGGAACCTTGATTTTTGATTTGGACCCATTTAAGCTCATATTAAGTCGAATTTGGTGTCGTTGGGTTCGTATTTCCGAGACGTTCAATTCGACTGTAAGTTTGCTGAAATCGGAGTTCGGATGGTTCCAATTTTAATTTTGGAAGTTTCCAACTTGATTTTGCCTCGAGATTCGTGCCTGATCAAGATAATTTTTCGATGAAGTATCAATACTGATGAGTCTTCACCCTCTATGCAAAATATGAAAGTCAGTAACCAGCAGCCTGTTACAACTACTGCAAATTTCCATCATGTGGGATAAAATCCTTATGGATTTTATAAGAGGGTTATCAAAGTCTTATGGAAAGACAGAGTCATGATGGTTGTTGATCAAATATCAATAATGCCCATTTCTTAGCTTTTATGAACATTTTTTCCATCTTCAACTGTGCACTCTTCATTTGTCTCTGATGTTTGTAAGTTGCATGAAATTCCATAGCTTATTATTTCAAACTATGATTCTAAATTTGTTGGTTTTTTAAGAAAGAATTGTTTCCACTCAGTGCGATGCAATTAAATCATAGTATTTCTTATCATTAACAATCATGCAATCATATGGAGGTGACTAATCATGGGTCAACATTTGCGCAGTTTTATGATGGATTCACCAGCAAAATGAGTGAAAGTTTTGAGCGAAATTTCCTTATAATATCAACACCACCTTGATGTTGACGGGCATTTCATAATTTCAAGTGGCGTATGATTGAGCTCTGCTAACAATAATTCCTTGCGAACTAAGAAGATCTGATATCGAAATTGCAGATATTTTTATATTACAAGATTCTGATAAAAGTTTTAAACAGCTACGCGAAAATTTACCAACAGATGAAAAACTGGATAAACACCGCAGCGACTTGCTGTTTGGGGTGGGAGATTTGGTTATAGTGAAGCTTAAGCCATCCCTACAGAAATTCGTATCCAATTGATCATAAAATAAAACCATATCCAATGATGGCCAAAATCCGTTCAGACGCATAAACTTGGGTTGTTCAACAAGACGAAGATCATCTAATTTTTCATGTTTCCCATCTCAAACTATTTTGGGAGACTCCACACTACATCTAGCCACGTGATCATAATTCAATTAAAGAGGGCAGTTGTTGGTTCATCCAATGGCAATCTTATATAAGTGAAAAATCGTGCAAGAAGCGCATGAGGACCTGTAGGTACTAGTTCAAATGCAAGAAGCGCATAAGGACCTATAGTTACTATTTCGATAGGAGAGATTAGTATGAAGAAACACTTCTTGGATATCATTGGATGGCTTAGGGTTGTGTTATCATGATTTAAATCATGCATGTAAGGTCATTTTTGGTGGGCAAAGCTGGATGAAATCAAGTCTAAAATGATAGGATGAGGTAGGCTAAGGCCATGCAGGTTGTTGGTTTTCCCTGTTACTTTCTTCCCTCTCTACTCAGTTCTCAGTTCTCAGTTCTCTTGTTTTCTTTTTGTCCTGTTCTCTACGGAGTTTGAACAGCTAGAATTGCACGGATAATATTCTAGGCTCCTATTCCTCTATTAATTATGCGTTGAACCTAGACCTCTTTGGCGACCACATACATTCTTAAAATCTCTATCCGAGTTACCTAAGTAAAATGATTGAATAAAACTTTCACAATGAAACCATATGAAGAAAATGGAGCGAGAGGCGCTAAAGTCATAATCCTACTCATGAGAAACAAAAACAGTACGTGGCAGAAGCCATGTGCAGGTAGAGCCAAAAAGATGAAAACCTAATATACCGTTTCTTTGATTTCAAATGTGCCATTCAGGCTTCTCTATCTTCATATCTCCATGTCCAGCTAATTCCGACCAATATAATTGTCTTGCCTCCCTAATTATTTAATATCTACTCCTTTCAAGCTTTCACCTTTTGATTCCAATTTTCCCATCGTTCTCGGTTCTCGCATCTCGGCTGACACAGCCCTGCAATCCAACTCAATAATTCATCCAATAATTTCATAGGGCCCAATGCGCATCCAATTAATCTACTGTTCAAGATCCAAAACAGAAGGGGATTATGATATGCTTGCTAACGCCAAACTAAACTGATGTGGATCAAATTTAAATATTAATAAAAAAATGTAAAATCTCAATCATTCCTATTCACTAATTTGATTCATATACATTTTTAGTGTAGCTCTCTAATTCTTGTTTATTTAAATTTTTTTTTAAGATAAAAAGCATTTTAAATTCATACAGATAAATGGAGATGGGGATGGCTGTGGTGGGTCCTTTTTATGCGAACTTAGATTTTTTTTTTTGGGACATTTAGGCCTATTTAAGGCAAACTCACACACACAACGCATACACAAAGACTCGAACCCAAGACCTCTTAGTTGGAAGCATAAGCTCTCAACCAAAAAGCCAAGGTGAGCTATGTACGAACTTAGATCTATTTGAACAATTGAACAACCTTAGTACTATTTGTCGATAATACTTGGCCATCTTTGTATCAGGTTTTATATGAAAGGAATTCTATATGCTCAAAGACTCATAGAAAGGGTACTCGCTCAATATAATGTCCAGAATCAAAATCAAGATGCATCATATTTTTTTCAAAAATAAGACAGCTATAAAATATTATCAATGCTAGACTTAGCACAATATCAAAGCTTTTCATTTGATTTTGAGCAATAATGCCGACTTATGGCAGCAAAAAGTGTCACAAAGTGGGTGCAACTCATTTAAATTTAAATAATTAAACTGTTCTTCATGAAATTTGTTTGGGAACAAAATTTTAATATCATATTTTCAAACAATTAATAGACAATAACATCCTACTATTTTTCATGAAGATTAAAAATCTAATCAAAATTTTCCTTTGGAGACGTTTAGAGTGGGTAAGAGACTATACCGTTGAAAACCCCCTGGGTGTAGGAGCACTGACGTGGGGCAACAGGCAGCAAGTGGGAGCTCTTCCTTTGCTGTTGTTCATCTTCAACTTGAGTTGGGAGTAATGGTCTGAGAAGGGAACTGAAGATCTCAGAGGTGTGGTGTCCTCTGAATGAATTGCTCAAAAATGAGCTCCCTAATCTACTTAAATTCGGAGTACCAAGAAATCCAATGGTTGGCGGCGTCACACCACTGTAAATGTCTATTGATTGCCTGTCCAAATAGATCAAAGAGAAGCATAGATAAGTTTTGCATCTTCTGCTAGTATTTACAAATCTTAAGAAGTGATAGCTTGGAGGAAGTAGAGAAGGAATATGATCCTTCATTTATCATCTGAAAAATGTTCCACTTATTTTCCAATGAAAAGATCATTACCATCATGAGGGTAAGGGAAGTTCTTTAGAAATGAAAGCAGCTAGTGCTATTAGTCCCTGTTCATTCGATGAATACAGAAACAAAAAATTTAGGCCATTTAGTTGTTTTAACTTAAAATTATTAGATATTAACATTGATATCAAATTTTACAAATCTCCTCAAAATTTGCTCCAAAGTAAATATTTAATTTCACGCTCAAAATAATTGAAAGCAAAATCCTGACATTCTAAATCAGTAAAACATATTTCCCATCCACGTCCAATCAAATTAATGAGCCCTTCAAGTAATAAAAGTTTCTGTATTGTATAACTTAATATAAAATTGTGTTTGCTTTACACATAATTGAATAGTTAACACTATTACACAATGAATACAATTAACTTAGCCTGCTTTATTATAGAATTTTTTTTTACACCGGAAAAAAGAACTTAATAATAATCAAATGACCTAAGAGAACCAACAAAAAAATGCAGCTTAGGATCATACATGCATGGGCAGACCAAAACATAAGATAGAGAGAATCACAAGGTAAAGCTAAAGTTTATCTTTCATGATAATTAAACAAATTTCAACTAATCAGCATTCAATTATAATCAAAATTAAAATAATATTTCAATAAGTAATGTTTTCAAACTAATTAAGCGGATGTTTGGTTGACTGAAAAAGTAATACAATGTAAAAAATATGAAAAGCATTTGAAATATTTTAGACTTGTTTGGATGAATATAAAATAAATGCGAGAAAATGTTATTTTTTTCTTTAACTTAAAGTAAAATGAATGCAGTGTAAAGTTCAAGGATAAGATGATCGATGACGGTGGCATACAATAGTGGTCGCTAGTCATTGGTGGTAGTAGCGGCCGTCGGTGGTGGAGTTTGGTGGTGGCAACGGCAAGGGGCATGGTCGATGGTAGTGGCGAGCGAGAGCGGGCAATGAAGTTCCATTGTATTTAAAAATCGACCAAATAAGAGGAATTCAAAATACACCAAAAATGAACTAGATGTTGAATTTCAAATACACAAAAACTTTACACTACATTTGGTTTACTTCAAACCAAACATCAATATTCCTCAAACCCCTGCATTTGAAATATTTTACCCCCTTTTTACTTCAAATCAAACAACTCCTAGGCTTTTTATAACTTTTTCAAATCAATTAAACTTTTTTTTTCCATAAAATCAATTTAAATACAAATAAATTTAACTATCATTAAATTCACAGTCATTAATTATTTTCACTTAATAGTAAATCAATTCATATTTGTATAAGATTAGAACTCAATAATTTAAATAAATGAGCATAAGCCAAAATTCACTCTCTCGATATATCTTAACTTATTTTTCAGCTCATCTTTTTACCATTTAATCCATGTAACCCAGTCAACTATCACTTAGCTTACCTATGATGACAACTTAATACCAATTCAACACAGATAAATTTATTTGTTTATTCTCCAATAATTTTATCGCGCCACCACAGATGTTGCCGTAGACTTGGCATACGCCAAAATACAGAAAATCAAGACAGCAGCTACAATTAATGCAGGTAATGGATAAGGCTTTCCTCCAGCTTGATGGGCCCAATCATATTTCAGTGTTTATCACAAAATCTGTAAAGTTTCTACCATCCACGCAACCAACCCGAAAAACCTACCTGAGGACAAAACTTGGATATATTATTTAAATCTGTTTGGGGACTTCCACAAATACATCTCCTGTGAATTATGAACATTTCATTTAGTTCGTATTAAATATTTGGATATTCAGACAGGTGTGCTATTTAATGAGACTATTTTTTTAAATGAAATATTTTAAAAGGAATTTCTATATATAACTTCCATTTTTTTATGAGTTGCATATCTTATACTTAAATTTTTATATTTATTTACATGCCATTTTAATATCTAAATATATGGATGAAAATATATTTTTTTAATAAATAATAATAATAATGTTTTTAATGTAATTTAAAATTTTAAATATCATATAAATAAATATAAATTATAAGTATTAAGTATTAAATATATAATTACATAAGAATTTTATAACATCCCTATAGATCCTCCTATTTTAAAATATCTATTTAACTTATGATGAAAAATATTTTAATAATATTAGGATTATGTTTTTATTTTTTTTTTCCAAGCCATTTTTATTTCTTATATATATCCACAAACCAAAATAATACTACACCTGCTCGAATCGCTGCATCACACTACACCTGGAGCCTGGAGGTCAATGGAATTTCAGTACACGAAAAAACTAAATATACCACTCATGTTTCCTTCCTACCACTTAATATATTTCATTTATACCACCCATATTTGATATGAAATTGAACTATGGGTGGTATGCATGTAATATTAAAGTTTTAGGTGTTAAATATATAAATAGAGTAGTATAAAGTGGTATGCATGTAAATCTCCCAAAAAAAAAAAATACAAAAAAATATATATTGGGATTTAACTTTAAGTAGACTAGTTAAATTAAGAGAGAGCTCTGTTTCCTCTGTACCCAAGTAACGGTCACGGGTCACCCTCACCTCACGCACCCTTGGAAATAAAATAAAAGTAAAAAAGGTCGACAAAGACAAACCGCCCATTTTTATTACCCAACAAACACGGAAGAAATTTTTAAATGTTATCCTTTTGGTTAAATTAAAAAAAAAAAATTGTTATCTTCATAGGATCCAATAAAAAGTGTAGGTCTCTAAAATTAGATTGATTCATCAATAAAAATAAGATTTAAATGAAATTTTATGCATATTTCAAAGGAAGTGTAGTATTATTTGAGAATAAATATTCTTTACTTGTTTCATGTGCAATATTTTACAACAAGAAATATGTAGATAAATAAAAGATAGAATTCAAAAATATATTTGGCTATGCATATTTTGGAGAAATCAAAGGTATGCTGAAACGAGTTATGCTGAGATATTAAAGTTTCATTTGGGATGACTTTTTTACTGTTTCTTAAATCAACATTTTAATAAAAATAAAAAATTTGTAATGACAAGCTGCTTAAGCAGCAGTAAAGAAACCATCCCAAAGGAAACCTAAATTTTCACTGAAATCAAGGTCCAAATGCATGAAGTTCAATTTTATTCGATTTATTTCATTATTTTGTTATAAAATAAGTTCAAAAGGCCAATAAACTATTTCGATAAAAAGCAAAATCCAGCCCACCAAATATTTCTTTATTAACTGAAAAGATAAATAATATATTTGCAAAACCTTAATTACTCTTTCAACTACATTATTGAATTGATGAGATATTAAAAATAGAAAAAAAAATCAAAATATTCAAATTAAATTTGATCATATATTATTTTGTCATATATTATAAAATATAATATATTGTAATTAATTTGTCATATATTATACATATCTAAAAATTAATCTTAAAATTTTGAGATATGTCCTAATTAAATTTCATAAAAAAATATTTTCCCAAAAAAATACTCTTTGTTTTTTGACAAGTGATTTTGGCTGGTATATTTGATTATCGCTGAACATTACTTTTTAATAAAAAAGCACAATAGAATATCGTAATCATTAATAATAAATTTATTAAAAAGTTTATATGATGAATTTCATGGATTTTCATTATATGTATCTACTGAGTGCATTGTTGCAGCATAGAGTTTCCCACATCATTAATTAGAATCTCTTTCGAATCATTTTTTAAGAAAATTAAAAATTTGAAAATCTTATTAGAAGCTTAGTTCTTTAGATGGAGAAATTATTTTGTGCGGCTGAACGTAGAGCACCGTCCAGAAATCAATCAAAATATATTACGTTATTAGTATCGAGTCGTGATACCAAATAGTACAAAGCCACAATACTGATCACATAATCTCCCGACGTTATACCCACCGCTGCTTGTCCGGCTGGTGAAGAGCCGGCTGGGCAAAGCCTAGGTCCCTGGTTTGAATCCCTTGGCAAGTAGTGAAAGTTTTAAGTGTTGACCCGTATAAATTGATGTGGGTTGCATGTTAGGTCGACCATAATTTTCACTTACCTAATGATAATGATTCCTCGTAATAAATAAATAACCACTAACAGGCAAACCAGACTTTTTAACATAAATTACCGGACGAGGAGGCAGAAAATCAAGCATAGCCATCTAATAACGATCCTACGGCTGAAATATTGAGATGGTGACGGGAGAGCCGTACCTGTAGCTCTGGGGCCAAGTAGTGTTGTAGGAGTTCGGCCTGCTCCGTCTTGTGCTGCAAACCGAAGACGAATCAGAACCGTCTGATTCGTCATCGTCGTCCTCCTCCGCCCGAACCTTGCTTTGCTCCTCATCATCGACGCCGTCCTCCGCGTCGCTGTTCTCGACATAGATGCTCCGATCTAAGACCGAGTTCTTCATCTCCCCTGAAGTACAAGGCAAACAATCTCATAGCAACTATCTTCTAAAAAAAACAAATCTCTGAATACAACAATATTTTTGGAAAACAGTATATCTTGCCGCAAATGACATTGCCAGGGGAAAAAGAGAAGAGGCTTGGAAATTGGTATAGGTTTAGGTTGTCTATGTCTATCTGGTTTATCTTCGTTCTACCATGGATAATCTACTTGTTTGGTTTATTTTGATCACTTATTAGAATCGTGTTCTGCACTACACTTTCTGAATATTGCTTAGCCCTCGTCTGATCAAAATTGATTCAAACACAGAATCACTGCTCTATCGAGTCCATCCCACCCAATATAAATTTTTCTCTGATTTGAAGATGATCGTAACTGTTGTTTTTCTTTTAGTTTGGTTAGAACTTGGAACCACACATTACAACTGTAATTTTCCAATTGCTCTTTTTTTGGTGTTCTCTGTGTAACATCTTTTTTTTTTTTAATTTTAATAGAATTGAGCTACAACTAGCACCATTAAAAAAACTGGGGAAAGATCGTTGAATCAGATCGACGGATTAAGAAACGGCACACCCATTGCAGGGAAAATAGAATGGCGAATGGGGCATTTTCTCGACTAGAGATGAGAAAATTGAAGCCAACCATACCTCAACAGGAATCGATCGAGATTCAGCACTAAATATTCCGGCCGGGCTTTGCAAGAGAACGAAAATAGCAATTTGTTTAGGGCTAGGATTTAAAGAAGCTGAAGAGAAACAGAGAATATATGCTGGAGAGAGAGAGAGAGAGAGAGAGAGCGCGCGCAGCGACGGTCATATAAAAAGACGGAACCTCTCGGCATCGAGGCGCGCAGTGCAGAAGGTTCACGAGGGCAGCAAGGATAAGGAGGAAGCGAAGTTACGGAAATACCCTCAGATGTTAATGATATGAATGAAGACAGCTCACCTGAAAGCGAAAGAAATGGTTAGCCACGTGGCTAGAATGTCGATGTGCTGGACGATTCATGGAGTCGGCGAAGAATTTCGGTAAAGAATTGGGGCCGGATCATTGGACCCCAAAATAGGAAATGGGCGGCCGTTTTAGGTTTTTTTTTTGGGACATTTAGGCCAATTAAGGCAAACTCACACACACAAGGCATACACATAGACTCGAACCTTGGACCTCTTAGTTGGAAGTCTAAGCTCTCAACCAATAGGCCAAGGAGAGTTGTGTTTAGGTTTCTTATTATTATCATCAATTTTATAAAATTTTTATTTACACTTAATTTTTTATTTTATTTTGACCTAATAAAATTGGAAACTCATTGTCTAGAGGAATATAAGGATTAGTGTCTCAGTTTTGTAGGAAGATCTACTACATACACATATAAGAAAGTTATATTTGTTCCAAATTTAGTGAAGTCAAGTTCACTAGTCAAAAAAAAAAAAAAAAAAAGAAAGTTATATGAAAAAGTAATAAAAGACATCAAGATTTTTAAATAAAAAATTATAAAAGAAGAAAAATCTGGTGGCATTAACCATTTAAAATGATTCTACTAGCATTTGTAGTGGATTACAAATGATGTTCTTCCACGAGAGAAAGTTTTGGCTCAATGTAATAAATATATATTAGATAGAGCACATTATATGGTGGGAGTTGGAAGAATCCAGTGATATGAAAATTGTTCACAAAAGAACATTGACATGTTTGTTTGGTCGATATGATCATAGTCGGGCTACTGAGGTAGAGGGGGTCATTTTCGAGTGATTGAGGTAGAGGGGACTATTATCAGTTGCTAGAGGTCTGAGGGATTCATAGTACATAGAAAACGATGGTCAGAGGTACAATAGTCGCATACAACAAAGGTTGAAGGGACTATAATCGACATGCGACGATGGACGGAGGGACTGTAGTTGGCGGGCAATGGTGGTATGAGGGACTATAATCGACAAGCGATTATGGTCAGAGGGATCGTAGTTGTCGGGCGATTGTGGTCGAAAGGACTATAGTTGGTCGATGATTGTGGTCAGATGGACCATAGTTGGCGGACATTGGTGGTCGGATGGATTATAGTCGGCCGGCGACGGTGTCTGAGGAAACGTAGTTGGCGGGCAACAGCGTTGGAGGAACAATAGTTGGTGGGCGACTGTGTCTGAGGGAATGTAGCTGGCGAGAGCTGGTGTAGGAGGAACTGTAGTTGGCGATAGGGGTGTAGCCGAGTCAAGCCAACATACGAGCTGGCTCGGACTAGATTTGGTAATAGGCTCAACAAGTTGAGCTTATCGAGCTCGCGAGTTGAGCTCGAACATTATTTCGAGCTCGATGGCTTATCGAGCTTGAGAAAACCTCTGCTCAACTTGTCGGCTCGATGGTGCAACTATTGACGGGGCGAGAAAAAAAATTATTTTGGGCAGGCGGGAGGACAATTCGAAGGCTAGGAGTCAAAATGACGAAGTTTGCTTGATGACGAAACTAAAGATAATGACGGCGGCGTTTGCATGTTGCTCAGCTGCGGTACTCGGGACAACCAAGCAGAGCTCGACGACATAGCTCAAGGAGACAAAAGTCAGAGGCTCGGAGCTCACGTGTGTGGGTCTCCGAAAGGATTCCGCTCGTGTGGTTCGAATGCAAATGGTACGATCACACTATCCCGTAGGACAAAATGGTCGTAGACCTTTACACCCGACACAAGCAGGCCGATGGAAGAGCAGATGTAGTTATAGATACGATTAGCCATGAAGGATAGCAGGTTTTCACCTACCAACCTCGATGGATAATAATATCTATAACCCTAAATTCACGAGATTTCCCCCATTCGATACATCAGCACCGAATAGGGTTTATTTGATTGTGGGGATCAGTTAGACCGAGAGTGAGAACGGGGGGTCGGTCGTGTGTGAGCTACCGAGAGAGTGAACTTGGCCTCAGCTGGAGGCTTCGGCTTGTGCGAATGCATAGAGCATCGGGAGAGAGGGAGAGCGGCGTGAGTGATTCTCCAACTGGGGGAGGGGAGCCCAGCGTTTTCGGCCCCTTCGCGCTTCTTCTCCAAAAACCGAGAGAGAGGGCCGTCAGATGGAGGCTTTTTTTTTGGCCTTAATTAGGGCACCAAGCGAGATAGGGTAGATCGGAGCCATCCAATTAAATTATTGATCCAACGGTGGGATTCAAATTGGCTTGGAAATTTGATTAAGCTTTTTTTTTTCTTTATTAAAATTTAGCCGCACTCAAGGGACTGAAATCAAGTTCAAATTGAGTAGGGTTTGGTTCACTCCGGGTCACCTCGAACTCGCCTCGACTCGACCCAAAATTAATTCAATAAAATATGATAAAATAAATCGAAATCAAATTAATATCAATTCGAATCGAATCAGGCTCGACGAGGCTCGATCAACACGTTCAAACCCAGTCGATGGCGAATCAAGACAAAAACGAGGTCAACAACGTGCTTCGACGGGATGAAGGAGGACGGAGCTCGATGACGTAGTTCAGGATGATGGAGGTCGGAGTCTTGGAGCTCACGTGCTTCAACGGAGCTCGATATATAGTATGATGAAACTCGCGCCTTGGGTTGACAAGCTCGCAACCTCAATGGAGCTCGGGATGATGCTTGATGACAGAGGTAAGGAAGGGGACCTTGCCGAGCTGTTCAACTCGACTCGTTTCATGAGACAAGTTGAGCTCGAGCTCGACCCGACTCGTTTGCACCCCAAATTGGCGGGTGATGGAGGTTGCAAGGACTATAGTCAGTGAGCGTCGGAGGGACATTGAAGCTATCTTGGTTATGTTAATGTGCCTATTTTTATCAAAATGATTTAAATGAGCAGGACTATCACGAGAATGAGCATTAAGTTTACAAAGGAAAAAAAACACTTTATCACACAATAACAAACAAATATAATTTTTTTTTAGAATCAACTTTCAAAATTAAAAAAAAATGAAGTAATACATTCAAAAGATACCATAAAAAATATGCTTTAAAATTTTAAAAAGAAAAATTTAGGGTTAGGGATCAGTCAACTCCTAAGAAAATATTCTATTAGAAAAACTATTGCATCCAAATTTACTTGTAAGGAATACACGAATCATACTCACAAAATTGGTTTGATTTTGTTACTCAAAAGTAAAGAGGTTGAGAAGAATAAATTGTTGTGTGCCCTTCTATTTTCCTTTTGACCCTCCTATGTATAAGTGGAAGCTAGCAAAGACAATATTAAAAATTAAATACATAAATAAGATAATAAAGTCTAATAAAATATTGCCACAAAAAAGATATATGTTAATTATATCTCGTTAATTATGTGAAATATATACCGGAGCTTTCCATATATTATATTATGGTCTGATCTGATCTGATTGACATGTGTGATCGACCATTATCAGCAATATTTTTTTTTTTCATTCCTTGTATATAAGTGGAAGCAAAGATAATTAAAAAGTAAATACATAAATAAGACAATACAGTCAAATAAAATATTGCCACAAAAAAGATATATGTTAAGTATATCTCGTTAATTATGTGAAATATATACCGGAGCTTTCCATTTATTATATTATTGTCTGATCTGATCAGATTGACATGTGAGATCGACTATTATCAGCATGTTTATTTTTCATTCCTTGTAGCTCAATTATATATATATATATCACGTTTAAATTGTTGATCTTGGACTATAATAGATAGACACAATTTTATTGTTATATTTTTTGTAGATTGGTTGAAATGTCACCTTCAAATTACAATAAATTCAATGTGTGTAGTCTCTTATTGTTACATAGAGCATACAAATATATTTGTAGTATTAGATTGTGATGAGTATAGCAGTCCAACATATTAAAAAGATTTGAGTGATGATATATTGATTAAAAATTATTTAAATATAGATTTTAAACTTATTAAATTTACTTTAAGGAATATAATATACATTTAAATTAATTATATATAATAACTTTAAAATTTTGATCTAATTTTTAGGTTAGATTGACTATCTATGATGAATCAATATAGATATAGAAAAATAAATATAATATACAA